CTAGTAGAACAAAAAAGAAAAGGAAGGCCCTCTATTTTGGCCTGTGCTTTAAAAATTTACTTTACAGGAAGATAAAATTTAAGCATGAAATTGTTATTAGTAATTTTTTTCTTTTTTTGCCTACTCAAACAGAACAGTCTTACATTAATTATTCACATAAACTAAGTACACATGGGCCTTTAATAACACTCATTTATTAGTATGCTGATGGCTTCTTTCAAAATGAAGTTGCTTCCAAAAATGGAAAATTACCAGTCATATCATGGTATGTCTGCCAACTTTTAAATATTAAAAAGATGTTGAGAGGCTATAAGAATAAAACTGTGATTTCTTTTAATATACAATATACAAATTTTAAAAATAAGAAAAAGTGAAATGGGAGGCAGGGACTTGCCGAAGGGCATACCTGCAAATCGAGAACACATTCAGAAGATAAAGTGCATCGGAAACACGCCCACCCCCTCCTAGTCTTCCAGCAAACAAACAGGTCATGGCTATCTCTTTGGGTAACATTCCCTGCTGCCTCCTCCAAGGAGGCTGCCACTGAGACTAATGACATCATGATCACAGCTTCCTACCCAAGCATATATAAATAAGTATTTTCAAAAAAGAAAACAGTTATTGAACTAATTGTCTCCAAATACCCAAACTCTCAAGGAGTAAGCAACAAAGTGAAAAACAGACACTTGGATTGGAATAGTGCCAAGGTCTCATTTTCCAAATACAGAACACCGACCCAACAATCACGGAAGCCACACCCCTGATTTAGCTCTGATAAGTAGGGCTTAAGAGAGTGGTTTAAGGCAATGGTTTTCAAAAACTTATTGATTGTAAACCACAGTGAGAAAACAAAAACACACTTCATATTGTAACCATTACGTGTTGTGTGTGTGTGTATGTGTGTATAAAATTGAAACAAAAATATCACATAACAGTACGTACCCTTACTACATGTGATGATGCGTTATAATATTTCTATTTTATTCTATATTTTATTATTTTAAAATGATGGTTATGATCCATTAATTGGTTTTACAAGCCATTAATTCAATCCGACTTGCTGTTTTAAAAAGCATGCTGATTCTTAAGCTGGATCATCAGAAAAGTCTACTGTAATACTAGAGAAACTTTAACATTAGGTCTGCAGCTTTTATCAAAGGTTGAAATAAGAGATAATCACATGAAGAATGTTTCTGCGTCTTTGTAAAAGTGCTATTAAAAACAGAATATTACACTGGTTAATGTTAATTATGCAAAGATCAATGCTTAGTGTTCATGCATTTGTTTATCCATTTACTCATTGTATCTTGTAAAAAATGAGTCCCTACGCTAGGAAGTGAGGACATAATGAAAATGAGACTCAGGTGCTGCCTTCAAAAAATTCATAATTTAGGTGGAAAGCAGAATAGTAAATAGTCAATTAAATGATAACGGTTTGCATAATATGCTATGAAAGTACATTAGAAAGGCATCAAATCCAGATTGGAGACGCTAGACTAGGCTGATGGCTTCCAGGAATACATAAATGATGGCTATACCGAGTCCAAAAGAATGAGGAGGATTAGCCAAATGACAGAGGCAGACAGTTGGGGTAGAAAAATGATGCTATGCAGAGACCAGCAGACGCCAATACCTTGGGAGAAGAGAAAAAAAAGAACAGTGCCTCTGAGGAACTGAAATAAGTTCGCCATGAATTCTTGAAGATGAGGGTGCAGATGAACGAGGCTAGAAAGATAAAACAGCATCTGCCAAGATCATGGAGGCCTGGTAAGCCTTGATGAGGAACTGAGATTTTATCCTAAAGGCAATGAGAGGTTATAAGAGGATGCAAAAGACTTCTACTCCTGTGGTAATACAAAGAAAAATTCAAATAAAATAAAAATCATATTAATCTATGGAATTGCTATGGAGAGGTGGATGTAATGAAGCCTAGATGAACTAATTTTTAGAGAGAGGAATCCTTTGTGGGTGAGTAGCAGCTGTGGCAGCTTTCAAGGCAGGAAGGTGGAAGAAAAGATCTGCTAGAGACTTTGGCTCCAAGGCAGTGGCCTCAGGAGCTCCCAGGGCAGTTGTGGATCACACAAACTGAGGTGATTAAAATCGAGGTCTAATCCCTGATCAACCTGACTCCTGTTGAAATCTGAATGGATTATCTCTTAGTCTTAGGTGCCAAAAGTACGAAAGGGTTCACAGTCTCCGGGGAAAATAAAAGCAACAGGAAGCTACTGAAGGCCTGTAAGCAGAGGAGTGACAGGATCAGACATACTTTTAGAAAGGCCTCTCTGGGTCTGGCCCCGTGGCTTAGCAGTTAAGTGTGCATGCTCCGCTGCTGGCGGCCCGGGTTCGGATCCCGGGCGCGTACCGACGCACCGCTTCTCCGGCCATGCTGAGGCCGCGTCCCACATACAGCAACTAGAAGGATGTGCAGCTATGACATACAACTATCTACTGGGGCTTTGGGGGAAAATAAATAAATAAATAAATAAAAATTAAAAAAAAAAAAAAAAAGAAAGGCCTCTCTGACCACTGATACAGCATGGATACAGCATGGAGTGGAGCAAGACGAGAAGCAAGGAGACCAGAAGGCTGGGGCAGGAACACAGACGAGAGATGATGGTGAGCTAGACTAGAATTGTGGAGGTGGACACGGAGAGAAGTACTGATGGAAGAGATATTTAGGAGACAAAACTGACATGACTTAGTGATTGAGTCGACTGCAGGAGAGCAGGGAATGAGGAAGGAAAAGGGTGAGAGCTGACTCTCAGATTTCTGTGGTAGGAATGCACCTATGCTGATGTTTCCCTGAGAGAGGACTGACCAAAACAGGGGCTCAAGTCAGAAAGGAGGAGGTCAGCATGGGAGGTGCTGAGTTTGATGTGCCTGTGAATCATCGCAGTGGAGACGTCCCTTGGTAGGGAGATACATGAATCAGGAGGTCAGGAGAGAGTTCTAGGCTGGGGATAGAGATTTAGGTGCACTCAGCACAAAGCCAGGGGGGTGGATAAGGTCTCCCATGGAAAAGACAGAGTGAGAAGAGAAGAGAGACCAGAAAAGATGCCTGGAAGACACAGATATTTAAGGGATAGAAAAAGGAACTGAGAAGGTATGATCAGAAAGATAGGCATAAACAAGGATAGGATGGTGTTCTGGAAAGCAAGAGAAAAGAGTGTTTCAAGGAGTAAACAGTCAACGTTGTCAAAGGCTGCCATGATTGGAAGCGATCCATCTGATGTGGCTACATGGAGATCACTGGAGACCTCAGCAAAGTAGTTCAGTAGGAGGCCAAGCACAGAGGTCAGACGGAAGTGGGAGCTGAGAAGCGGAGATAGTGAGAGTAGTGAACAGTGAATTCTTAAGATGTCTTTAAGGGGAGAAGAGATGGTACGGTGGCAGGAAAAAGTTTTAAGATGGGAAAACTGGAGATGGTGGGAAATATCCAGTAGCAAGGTAGAGGGTGAACAGATAAGAGGTTAAAGGAGCCACCTTGGTGGTTTAGCTGTGCCTGCCAGGCCTGGGAAGGGGGAGCAGTGACACTTATGCAATGTGTCTGCCAATCCAGCACCAGCCCGTGAGCTCCTGCAGGGAAGGAACTGTGGCTTTCATTTGCATTTCCAGTGCTAGACCAGTGCCAGGCATACACTAGGCTTGTTGAATGAATGAATGACCAACTGAAACAATGAAAGGCAAGGCCTAGCTTACCTTTAGGTAAGGTAAACTGAGGTTTCAGAAGGACTTAAGTGCCAGTCTCAGAAATAACAGCTAAATCCTATAGGCAAGGAAGAGAACAAAATAGTTTTCTTGCAGAAAGCACACAAACAGTCACTTCTGTGTTAAAAGTATATGAACACTTGTAATACAAAATCTACAAACCCATATACAAATGACAGGGCCCCTTTCAAAAGTAGAAAGTTCTGCCATGCTTTGATCCTTAATTGGTGGCAACACCTCACCCAGAAAACCAACTGTATTACCATAAGGCTGCAAATAGCTTGAACCTTTTTTTAATGAAGAGGTCAATACCCCTTGGCCTTGCGCTTTAGTGTCTTTTCAAAGGCCTACCTGGACTCGCATCTCCTGTTGCTAACAACTTCAGGTGGATACATGCCACTGCTCAACAAAGATGAGTACTCCTGCTGAGGTCTGGTTATCACTATGAGAGAGCCACTTTCATAACCATGTTACATTCACCACTGAATCGGCTAGAACAAACCAGAACACCTGGAATATGATTCTTGAGGTCCTGCAGTAGGAACTGCTCTAACCTAGGGGATTGCAAACTAAGAATATAAAGTCCTAGCCCTTCAGAAATTTATCATCCAGCACCTAGAAGGTTGCCCAGCAAAGAGTAGACATTAAACAAACCCTTGTTGAATGAATTTAAATTATTATAGTTGATAACAAGTTAATATTCTCCCTAAATACCCCAATAGCAGAGACTATAGAAATAACAGAAAAGACTAACTGCTCTATATGAACGAAATTAAAATCTTTGTCCATAAGAGATTGGGCAGATGCTTCATTTAAAAACATTGATTTTTAACTGTTATTTAAAACCTATAAATCCTACACAAATAACACTTAATTGTTTAAGTCTAACCTTCTTTACCACTCTTTTCCCAAATGTGATTTATAAGCACTGGATAATTTAAAAGTCTCATGACTTATTTTCTGAAATTAAAATCTCTATCCAATTTCATTTTCATTCAAACAGACAATCACAACTAACTGGCTGCCTAGAAGCAATCATTACAATATGGACATTTCTACCAAGGACTTTGACATACATTTTTATATTGTCTCTTCGAGGCGTAAAATATTCTCTACTGTGGGTTCTCTTCACATTTAGCAAACTTAATGTTCACTTTCCTATTACGGTCATAGTTACCATTTACAGAGCACTTAGTATCAGCATAGATCCCACTGCCCCAGACCCACCTCTGCATCATGGGAACAGAAAGTTAATGTTGGGAATATTTGCAGAAAGCCATGCTCATAGTTACCCTCCTCCACCCGTGACGTAGCTGTAGCCGCCAGTGCCCAAGCCGTAGCCATAGCGCTCTCCCAGAAACACAGGTTCACTGGAGTCGTAACAGCTGAGCAAGTGCTGGAGCCTGGAGATGCTGAGATTCCAAAGGAAGCATAAGCAATAGTTATTTAACTCTAATATGTTTCCAGAGTAAATATTTTATGGTTCTTACGTCCCACTGGTTATATTATGCAATACTATACTGAAATCACTTACAGAGGGAATTCAAGCGACTTATAGAACTGGATTTGTGTTTGTGTGTGTGTGTGAGAGGAAGATCAGCCCTGAGCTAACGTCTGATGCCAATCCTCCTCTTTTTGCCGAAGACTGGCCCTGAGCTAAGATCCGTGCCCATGTTCCTCCACTTTATACAGGACGCCACCACAGCATGGCTTCACAAGCGGTGCGTCAGTGTGCCCCCGGGATCCTAACCAGAGAACCCTCGGACCACCACAGTGGAGCTCGAGCACTTAACTGCTGTGCCACCAGGTTGGCCCCCAGAACTGGATTTTTTTTAAAAGACAAAAAAAAAAAAAAATTAATGAACACTGTACATTGCTAGAAACAGGAGAGAAATTGAGAAAAAAGAGACTCCCCAGTTTTAATTAAGCCCCTGCCAGAAGTGGCTGCCAAGTTTGGGTGGGTAGGACAGCAGGTTAATGAAGTAAAGGTGGTTGGTGTACTAGTTCACTTCTACAGTCCTGCGCCCCAGTGAGTGTGAACTAATCCTCACATCTTTTCAGATGTACTTGGTATCTTTTTAAATTCCTGGTGGCCAACAAAGGAGGTTTGGGGCTACCAATGAGGTCCGTGTCAGGCATGTGGCTGGCAGGTGGGCAGTGAGGCGCTCAGGGAAACTTTCCAATTACGATGCGCAAATACGCTTCAGCTTTCCTCAAGTAAGGCCACCCTAGACTGTGGTCTTCTCACGTCTATTTGTTTACACCTTCTGGCCCCTAGCCTTCTTTGTCAAGTGTCAACAATGACAGCTTACAAAGGGCAGTGAGAACATCCACGAGTTGGTCAGAAAAATGCCTGCAACTGTGGCTGCTGTAAGGATGAAAAAAAAAGATTTCATAGGAGAATAAAATCCAGAAATAACTTTTTAAAGTGGAGACAAAGGTTGATGTTAAGAAAGCCTAGTTTTTCCATATTTTAAAAACTTATACCATGTACAAATGCCTTATAAAATCCTTCCACTGTTTCTTGTAAATCAGAGCTTTCCAGGTCACACAGCACCAAATCCTAGGTTCCCTCCTGATATTACTCAGCGTTCCTTGAAAAAAGTTTTTCCAAGATCAATAACTGTGGATTGAATATTTTTAATGGGCTAAATCAACTTCAACGTCTCTCAAGCCTGTGATTCACAAGCATGACACACCTCCAAGAGGTAGATATAATATGAAGCATTTTTCTAAATTATTAATCACAAATTCTTTTCTCACAAAGCAACATTAACACCTAGAACACCAGTGTTCTGGAGTCTCATTTTGCTCTCTTTTTGGGGGGAGGGGTGGCGTCATAAGAAAACAAGGTAGAAACATACAAGAAGAGATCACATTTTCCACCCAAGTTCAGGCATCTTACAAAAATACCCTAGCTAATAAAGCTAAAGCTGAAAGTGAAGAAAACAATGGATGACAACAATCGCTTACAAGTGGGTGCTAAAAGTGTCTACAAGTTTGCTGACCAGGTTTGTATCTGTCTGAAGGTCAAGGCCTCTCATAATGTTGACAGTTTCCGGGTGGCTAGCAAATGTTATCTTTGGAAACTATCCTGTTTCAGGCACACAAGTTAAACAGTCTAGGCATCTAGTTCGGAATCAGTCTTGAGGAAATCGTCTAATAAATAACCCTGCAGGGGAGGGCCAGTGAGTGTGCAGATACCTAGTAAAACATCATTCAGTTACGGAGAATACACTCTTAAAGATCTCTAAGGCAATCGCAGCCTTTGCTTGGTAAAAGGCTCTGTAAAAACTCAAAGCCCTCTGGGGCAAATTTATGTCTACCTCTTGACCACAGAAGAAATGAAAAGTATTTCTCTTCCTTCTGCATATCGTAAAATTATCAATTCAACCCTCAACCTTCAATTTCTGAGGTTAAAATAAGTAGGATTTAACACCTTCTCTAGATTTCTTTTCCTTATAACATTAACCGTTTCCATATTCAAAATATCATTTTGAAGCTGAAGAATCATAAACTGAGTCTGACAACTATCACACACTTCATATTTGCTAAAAACTGGAAATGCAGCTGAAGCAGACAGATCTACAATTCTATCCAAGTACACTGGCTACTGACTCAGGAAAAGAACTTCATTTAACAATCTGGTACCATTTCAGGCAATTTTGAGGCACAGAAATGAAGAAAAACAGTATAGCAACACTTTAGATTAAGTGCTATCAAAATTATATTAATACATCTTAGTGTTGCATACAGATTTTAACAGCATAATACTGATTTTTAAAATCCAGATGAAGTTCCAATCTAACCTATTATAGCTTTTATTTTTTAACTTTTTATTTGGAAATAATTTTAAGATTATAGAGAAGTTGCTAGAGTAGTATGAAGAACTCTCATATACCCTTTATCCAGATTCACCAATTGTTAACTTTGACCCCATTTGTTTTATCATTCTCTCTCAATCTCTCTTCTTCTCTCTAGACAGATAGAGATATATGGATACATACATATGTTTGTATACATACATATACATATATATGTATGTGTCTGTACTTATGTAGATAATATAGATCTATATATATATCTATAGATCTATATACACTTTTGTTCTCTTTTCTGAAATATTTGAGAATAAGTTGCATACATTACGCCCCTTTCCCCCTAAATACATCAATGTGTGTTTCCTAAGCAGAGAAATAGTTAGCAACTTCAGGAACTTTAACATTGATAAGTTTCTTAAAAACTTAAACATATACCTACAGTATGTCCCAGCCATTCCACTCCTAGGTATTTAGCCAAGATAAATGAAAGCAGATGTCTATACAAAGACATGTACACGAAGTTTCAGAGCAGCTTAATTATAATAACCCAAAACTGGAAACACAGTGCTTATATCTAAGCTACCACCATATTCCAATTTTATCAATTGACCCAATAATGTCCTTTGCAGCATTTTTCTCCCTCCAGTACAGGATGCAGCCCAGGATCCCTCATTGCATTTATTTATCATCACTTTATTCTCCTTTAACCTGGAATAGTTCCCCAGTTTCTCTCTGTCTTTCATGACATTGGTATTTTTTAATAATAAATGCCCTCCCTGTGAATGCTCCTCATGTTGAGTTTGTCTGATGTCTCCTCGTGATAAAGTCCAGGTGACCCATTCCCAGTGGCAGTATTATATAAGCGATGCTGTGTCTGGCACACGATGTCCATCTGTCCTTCATTTGTAATATTCATTTTGATCGCCCAAAGTGTTGTCTGGGTTCTCCACTGGGCAGTTACTATTTTTCGCTTGCTATTTCTAAGAGTCTCTGGGCAGATACTTTAACACCAGCAAATACCCTGGTCTCATCAAAATTTACCCCCAGTTTAGCAGCCATTAATGATTTCTGCCTTAATCAATCTTCACTATGATAGTTACAAAGTGATGACTTTTCCAACTCCATCACTCCCTCCACATTTATCATTCAGAACTCCTCATTATCCTGCAAGAGCCCAGCTGCTATGGACTGAATTGCATCCCCCACTCCAAAATTCATTATGTTGAAGCCCTAACCCCCAGTGTGATTGTGTCTGGAGATGGGGCCTATCAGGAGGTAATTAAGTTAGGTCAAAAGGTCATAAGGGTAGGACCCTGATCTGATAGAATTAGTGTCTTTATAAAAGAGACACCAGAGAGCTCTCCCTCCATAGAGCACAGAGAAGAGGTCATGTGAGGACACAGGGAGATGGTGGCCATCTTCAAGCCAATATAGCGGCCTCAGAAACCTACTTAGCCAGCACCTTGATCTTGGACTTCCCAGCCTCCACAACTGTGAGCAACAAATTTCTGTTTAAGTCCCCCAGTCTGTGGTATTTTGTTACAGTGCCCAATCTGACTAATACATCACCCTTCTGCCCCATTTATTTACTTACTCATCTATTTATTTATTATAAGCATGAACTCACTGATTCCTAATTTTAATGGTTCATAATTCATTATTGTCCTTAATTATACTGACACTTAATTAGTCCCAGATTTGGCTAATGGGAACCTATTCAAGCTCGCTTCTGTGTCCTCTTGACATGCACTTTTCTTTCCTATCTTCTTTTTAAGACTTCCTTACTTTCTAGTATAAAAAAAGAATGTTCCAAATGTCTTCTTGTCTCTTCCTTGCCTTAGCCTTAGAATCAGCTATTTCTCTGAGAAAGCCTAGTTCCTTTTAGTGGGGAAAGCAGCAATACTAGTTCTGGTCACTAGTTGCTCACCGCTACTAGGATATCTTTGCTTCTAGTCTTCTTATTAGAAAGAACTAGGAGGGCCGGCCCCGTGGCTTAGCGGTTAAGTGTGCGCGCTCCACTGCTGATGGCCCTGGTTCGGATCCCGGGCGCGGACTGACGCACCACTTCTGCAGCCATGCTGAGGCTGCGTCCCACATGCAGCAACTAGAAGGATGTGCAGCTATGACAGACAACTACCTACTGGGGCTTTGGGGGAAAAATAAATAAATAAATAAATAAATAAATAAATAAATGAATAAATAAAAGAAAGAACTAGGAAATGTATATGTACACTGTACACACACATATATTAGAAATCATGAGTCTGACAGAAATTATGAGTTCTTACAGATTTCTCCACTTCCAATCTACCCCCATAGGCCATTTCCTTGACCTGCCTCATTCCACATCCGTATTTCCCTTCATCCACAGTGAGAACCCTGGCTCCCAACAATATTACCATTCACTCAATCCTACGATGTACCTAAAATCATTTCAGAATTGCCTCAACCACACCACTACAAAAATCAGACTGACCAAAAATTCAGGATTTGTCTGACATTCCTCCCCTCTCCCCACACCTGACTGAAAGCATATATCTAAACAGCGTCTTCAACAGTTACTTGCATTAGTTATATTTTTCCTTCAGTGTGATTATGTTTTCATTCAAAATATAGTTGGGTTCATTTGTCTCAGTTTTGCCTCCATCCTTGTTGATTTTTCTCCTGTTCTATTTTTAAAAATGTAAAATATTAGCATGCTTCCCAAAGTCAAACTAAATTAAGAGATACACTCAGAAAAGTATCAGAGCCTCCTTACTCCATCTACCCTCTTGGCCCATCCGAGCCCTTCTAGAAAACAGCTGCACAGGTTTCTGGTTTATCTGTCCTCCGTTTGTTTTTGTAAAGATAAGTAGACGTGGGTATGTTTTATTTCGCTTCATTCTTACACACAGGGTAGCATACTAAATATACTCTTGTGCACTTGGCTTTTTTCATTTAACAATCCTGGAAATCATTCAATACAATTTGTTGGGGTTTTTTTCCCCCAAGGAACCAAAATTTTGATTAATTTGATTCTCCTTTTTTTGTTCTCTACCTCAGTATTTCTGCATGTATCTTTATTATTATTTCCTTCCTTGTGCTTTTTTGGGTTGACTTTGTGATTCTTTTTCTAGCTTTCTTAGTTGGGAATTGAATTTTTTGTTTTTATTGATCCCATTGGTTTGGCAATCTTTATCCATCCCTTTATTTTTAGACTTTTTGAATGACTACATTTATGTGTGTCTCACATAAAGCAGAGAGTTGGGGTTTGCTTTTTGAGCCAATGTGAAAATTTTGTTCTTTTATTAGGTGAGTTAAACCCACAGACATTTAGTGATATGACTGATAATGTTTGGTATCAATGCTAAAATTATTTTAGGTTTGAATTATTATATATATTATATTTACTGTGTTTCTTTACTTTTTGCTTTTTAAAAAAATATTTTTGATATTTAGAAAGGTTTTTTTCCTTCATGTTTACCTTGTATTTAACTTTTTGTGCTTTACTATGCCTTTTTTCTTATTGAACATTTTATTATTCAATTTCTCAGTTGTACCTGGTGTCCTCTGAATCCCACCTATTACCAATACAACAAGCCATGATCTTATCCTACTTTCCCTTTTCCTCCCATTTCTTTAAAGTTGCATACTTTCTACTTTGTCAGAACACATAACATTTACAAACTATTCTCCTACCCATGTCTCCACCCATTTTACTTTTAGTTCTATAGTTAAATACACTCATGCGCTGCATAATGATGTTTCAGTCAACGATGGACCACATATACGACAGTGATCTCGTAAGGTTAGTGCCACATAGCCTAGGTGTGTAGTAGGCTATACCATCTAGGTTTGTGTGAGTATACTATGAGGTTCACATAAAGACGAAATCGCCTAACAACACATTTCTCAGACGTATCCCCATCGTTAAGCAATGCGTGACTGTATATGAAATGCTCACCATCAGTCATTTGCCAAAATTTCATCTCTCTGGGTTGCACGAAGTTCTTTCTCTAATATATTCTTCAGGAAGGACACGTGTACACTATTTCCTGAGTTCATGTACATTAAGAACTTTTCCTACAGCCTTGATACTGAAGAACATCTTAGCTACATACAAAATCCATGATTCACAATTTCTTCAAGTTTGTTGAAAATGTTCCTCTATTATTTCCATACTTTTTATGTTATTTTGAAAAGTCTGATGCTAGCCTTATTTTCTTGCTCTTTAAGTTATTTCATCATTATGCCTAGAGATTCAGAGGACTTTATCATCAAAATCTAATCATTTCCCTAGGGTATGTGAAGAAGTTGATGATCCCAGGTCAATTTTCACTGGTACCTATTAGGTAGGCCCTTTTAATATATACATAAAGGTCTTTTTTTATTTCTGGTAATTTAAATATTATTTCTGTTCTTTTGATTTTCTTCAATCAGGGACTCCAATTATAGACGTGTTGGCCTTTGTTGCCTCCTCCATTTCAACTACTTTTTTTCTAATCTTTTAAACTTCTTTATCCCATTTTCATTTTCTTGGTTGCTTTCCTAATTTTCACCCATGTCCCTTATTAAATTTTCATTTAAATTTGTTTATTTTTGGTTGTTTCATAATTTAGTCATAACTTCAGACATGAATTTGTCTTTTTCTTCTATTTCTTTCTTGAGCCTAATAAATTCTAGTTTCATTTCTTCCCTTTTTTGTCCACTTCCTTCTTCAGTTTTTGAATTTTAGATTCAAGGTATTTTTCCTTGTCCCCAAATGTCTGTTGATCTTGTTTGCGTTGGAGCCAAAGCTCCAAGATTTGGTGATAATACAAAGACCAACGTAAAGATGTGGCTATTTATGGAGAAGAGAGATTGACCCTAAATCTTGCAATTATTCAGCCTCATGGCTAAAAAGTTAGAGAGTTCATTGTGATCAAGGATAATGTCAGAATCTTGAAAGGAAAACGTGGCAAGGCTCAAATTGAAAAACACATTTAAGACATCATTGAGCAGTTACATATTGTTAAATATGAAAATATGTAAATAAATGTAATTATGAAAAAAGTAAATATGAAAAAAGGAAAAACTGAACGAACATCTGGCAAAACTTTCAGGCAGAGTGTACTGAAGATTGATGGCACAAGTGATGCAGTTACAGATGCAGTAAATGCTGCATGACTGTTGCTGAAGAGGACATCATACTTGGAGGTGGCTGTGCTCTGCTTTGATGCTCACACTTGTGCTTGGGGTTCATGAAGCTTCTTGGATCTGTGGGTTTATAGTTTTTATCAAATTTGGAAAATATTTCTTTAAATATTCGTCATGTGTCCCTTCTCTTTTGGGAACTCCAACTGCATATACAAGGCCACCTGAAATAGTTCCACAGCTCAGTGACGCTCTGCTCATTTTTTTAAAATTAATTTTTACCTTTGTGTTTCAATTGGATAGTTACTATCACAAGGTCCTCAAGCTCACTGATAGTTTCTTGTGCAATGTCTAATTTGCTGTTAATCCCATTCAGTGGATTTTTCACCTCAATGTAGTTTTCATCCCTAGAAGTTGGATCAGTCTTATTTATACCTTCCATGTCTCTTTTTTGAATATATGGAATAGAGTTATAATAACTATTTATTAGTAACAACTTAATAAGTGCTAATTCTAACACTGTATCATTTCAGGAACAATTTCAATCAACTGATTTTTCTCCTCATTATAGGTGAAATTTCCTGCTCCTGCATGCCTGGTAACTTTTGAATGGACGCCAGGCATTGTGAACTTTACCCTGTTGGGTGCTGGATATTTTGGTATTTCTATCCATCTTCTTGAGCTTTGTTCTCAGATGCAGGCTAATTATTTGGAAACAGTTTGATCCTTTGGGGTCTTGCTTTTAAGATTTGTTAGGCAGGACTGGACAGTGCTTAGTCCAGGGTTAGCTATTTCCCACTATTAAAGCAAGACCCTTCTACATATTCTACCCAATACCCTGTGAATCAAGGGTTTTCCAGTCTGGCTGGTGGTAACAGGTACTATACTCAGCTCTGTGTGAGTGCTGGGGACCATTCCTTCAAATCATTTTGATTGGTTCTTTCCGCAGCCTCCACTCATTTCCTCACAAATACGCACCAATCAATACTCTACTGAATACTTAAGGGGAGCTTCCACAGATCTCCAGTGTTCTCTTTCTGTGCAGCTCTCTCCTCTCCAGTGCTCTGTCCTGCAACCTCTAATGGCCTGGGTCTCCCCAGACTCTCAACTTCATCTCCTTAACTCAAGGAGTTAGCCAGGTTCCACCTGGGTTCCTCTTCCTGAGCAGTGACTGGGACACTCTCTCAAGGCAGTTAGCTGGGGCAGTCATAGAACTCACCTCATTTGCTTCATGTGACTCACGAATCATTGCCCTTTATTGCTCAATTTCTAGTGTCTTAAAAACCCTCCTTTCATATATTTTGTCCTTTTGGGGGGTTGTTTCAGATGTGAGGATAAATCCAGTCTCTGTTACTCCATCTTGGCCAGAAGCAGAAGTACACATCATAGTTTCTGAATATGACTACATGTAGAATTTAAAGCCACCCTAGCATGAGAAGGACTCCTTACCTTATTAATGTATCATCATCCACAATGACTAACCATGTTATTTTGTCATGGCTGTGATTCAAAAATCTTTCCAAAATGGCATATGTCTTTCCACAGTGACCTAGGAAAGGCAAGAAGAAAACCTATAATGCATTATCTTCTTTAAAATACATATAATTCATTTTAAAGCAAATTTTTTTTTTTAGTTTTAAAAGTAAAAGCTTAAATGGTGACATGCACCTTAATAATTTGAAATTTTAAAAATTAGGCTTTTCTAATTTTCATAGTCATAGTGAACCAGTGGGAACTTTAGAGACTATGAAGTCTAAGCCATTCGTTTCACACGTGAGGAAATGGAGACCTAGAGACATGAGGGGAATTACACAACATCACTTTGAGGCAGAGATACGACTAGTATCTTCATTCTAGACAAACAAGAAAGTTGTATGTCTCATAGAAATTACAGCCTAGTATCTGTCCTTAGGAACTGTTAGAACCCCAAGCATCACAACCATAGGGAAACAACAGTGCAAAAATGGAATATTACACCTTCATTCACTGATTTTGTAAATATTTGCTATTAAGTTTCTAATAAGCCAGATGCTGTGGCAGGTTCTAGGATATGCACTAAAGATACAGCGCTGACTGAGACAGAGTCACAGTCCTTCAGATGCCAACTGACAAATGTCAATGTTTTAATGGAAAATGCTGGGGCCAGGATTAGAATAAAGAATGCTTGGAAAGAGAACTCAACTCGATAAATAGGAAAATGCCCCTCATTTCAACAAAGTATTTGGTGCCAAAATAGAGAAGAAACTAATATTAACTAATATTAAATTACTCAATTTGACCTTTATTTCCATTATTCTTGATCTCTTCATGTATATTTAGCCATTATGGTCTGTATTTTTGAAAGCCATCTCAAATTCCTTGTGGAATAAAGTAGAGTATAAACATAAGCAATAACAAGGTCAGACTAAAAATAAATTAAGAAATCAAATAAGGAATGCATGAATAAATAAATGATTATTAAAGCCAACCTAAATTGAAGCCTAAAAAGCAAGATTAACCAAAAAAAAAGAAAATTCAATCCAAAATCATTTGTCCAAAACAGACAGCAACAGCCAGACTCAGTAATAATTTAACCTCGTCAGAAGAACTCAGCACTACAGGATGGCATATCTGAGTCTACTTGTACTTAACCAATCAAGGCATCATGAGTGACATTTCCACAAGATAATCAAGATAAATTACTCTATAGAACAAGACAATCAACTTACTACTTTTTTTTAAATTCATGCAAGGGCTTGGGGAACCAGAAAATAAAGAAAAAATGTGGCAGGAACACTGGATAAAAATTAAGATGAACAAAGAGCAGCTGAAGGTGAGGTGGTCAAATTTCTACTTCCATTTTTTGAAAAAAAAAATGTTTTGAATTAGAAAGCCTACAATCTGAAGAGAAAAGCAGCTGTACTTTCAACAATTTACTAATTAAAATACTAACATATGTGGCTAAATATACATATACATCATGGAGCTTATACTACATACAACCAGTGCAGAATGTGGTTAAGTGGTGGTACTCAGAGGTACATACAAAATGTGAGCTAGACCACAAGCTTCATGAGGATAGAAGCTGTCGGCTTCATTTCTGTAGCCCCAGTGTCTAACAATGGCTGGCACACAGCGTCAAATAACAATCCTGGCTGGTTAAACTGCTAGCATTAAACAAGGAGAGGCTTTGTGTTGGAAGATGATAAATTACCTTTAGACACTCCATTACGGCCACGATGAATTATGAAGGTATGAAAAATTGATTGTTAAACTCTATTATGATTGTCATATGCTCAGTTATATCAATATGACCTACTAAAAACTTACTACCTTTCTTAGCACTTATAAAGCAGCTCTTACTCTGAAGCAATTGGTCCATATCCGTGGGTAAAGAAGTTGGGAGGGGAGGAAGGAAAAAACCTTACATAAGGCAAAAATTATAGTATTTATACAATATTTCATTTTTACCTTAATTTACTATATTTACAGAATGGACACTGTGAATAAGAGTAGTAGTAAGAATTAAGGACTCACCTCTTTCTGTATTAGGAATTCCCAGATCTACCGTAGGAATGGAAGTTTCTGCGTAATCACTGTAGTATTCAATGAGACTTGCCTGACCCGCCCAAGTCTGCTTTACAATGGGTACTGAAAAAAGGAGAGAGGCACAGTTATGTAACGAAGCTTGGAATCTCAAAGGGGCAGCATAATCACCTATAAAGGAAGAGACCCAGTACATGTTCTTCTTCAGGTGACCCAAGACTTAGAGCTTGCTTTTCTACCCTGAGAAATGCAGAGGTTGGTTGTTGATGGCAGCACATGAATAAAACCCTCTTCTTGAGACATTTCAATATACTCTAGAGCTAAGCACTTCTCATCCCTGGTCATAAATACACTCACTTCCATATGATGATAAATTTTCTAGTCTAATTATACTGTGTTTAAATTAATTTTAACTAGTTTTTCTCTTTTCCCAATAGGCTATTTCACTTAAAATTCACAACTAGATTTTTTAAAATGCTTTTTAGGGGGGTGGGGAATATAATTACTTCTAAAGATTGGAATATTTTTGTTGTTCTCGCTGAGATGCAAATTTGTCTCCCTGACAATGGTGGGCGGAGGGACTTTTTCAAACTACACACACATCCCCACCCAAAGAGTCTAACAGGACCACCCAACCCTACAGAGGGTATGACCTTACCATTGAGAATCACTGTATATGATGACTGATATTATTGTGTTGCACTTTTGAAAAATGTGGAAGAAATAAGATTGAGAACGACTGTAGATTTTAAAACTCTATCATTAACAGATACATTGCTTTAATACAATAAACACAAACAACAGAAAACTTTCCTCGTTTTCTGCATTTTAGGGTGGAATGCTCAAAAGTAGCTCTGTCTCCATTTGACATAGAATTCTGCCTGATCACTAGTTGATATTAATTCATTTGACCAACTATCCAAGTAATTAGTGACTGTCTGTGCATCTCTAAATTTTAAAGAGAAGAAAGGGTTTCTATTATTGTTTTAATAGACAAGAACATCATATCCAGATTTCATACCCTGTTAATTTAAGAATCTCAACTCTGATGAACCAAATCTTCAGGTCAATATTTTGAGACTTCATCAGATCATTTATCTTTCCCTTTTTCCCGACATCCTCCCCCCCCAAAAAAATGCAAAAACTGCCAATGCAATGCCAAATTTAAGTGTTTAGCTATTCTAGTCAACAAATTCAGAGTCAAACTCAGACAGCCCATGTATACAAAATACAAAAATGTACCATTTTATGGTCTATTATTCATCAGCTTTTAAGAAATAAAAAGATTTATGAATTCTGGAAATTTGCTATAATAATCTCCAAATTACCTATTTTAACCCACTAAATATTATTTTTATACATTAAGATATAATTTTTCTGCCATCATAAAAAGGCAGATATAAAGATTTCTCTACGTTAAAACAGACAAAGATGTAGCAATAGATATGGTTGCTGGGGAGAAAATAAATAAAAAAAAAATCCTCACTCCGTCCTACTTCCAAATTCCAGCACAACAAAAATCTTCACCTTGGCACTGCAGTGGCGGTTTGCTTTGCACATAATAAGCAGGAGGACTTACCCCAGGAAGGGCTCCCTGCAGCTTGCGGCCACTAACTGTTGCCTCTCTTGGGTAAAGTGTCCTCCATTGCATAAGGCTGGAAGAAGCTGTGAGGAAAGGTCAGAATTCCCCTCAGTTCCCAGCACTCGGTCCTGCAGGCTGTGCAGAGTCTGCCTTCACTTGCCTCAGCCTTTAGCCTTCAGTTCCTGTTTGCTCTAATAGCTTTATGAAACAGCATACGGGTTTCTTCTCAGTTAGCTGATTTAAATGACATTAAAATCAAAATCAAGTGTGAGTTAGCTCTTTGCTCTACCTAATCACTGGCTGTCAGTTTTCGTTTGGAACAGATGAAATGGAAATTTCACTGAATAAAGGTAAGAATTACTGTATGACTCATTCCCCAGCCCCTAGCACAGTGCCTGGGATGCAGTAGGTGCTGCGTAAATGGTTGAATGAGGACTGGATTTTGTAGGAATTCCAACAAAAGACCCAGGGCTATTTGTGGAACTAGTTTAAAGGAAGGTTTTATTAATAACAGCAATTCATCCTTTGGTACAAGACTGGTACCACCATTACCAATCAATTAAAAATAGACCAGCAGTTTAATATAGTCAAGTGTTATGATTCTGCAGCACCAAAAGCATTCAACAGTTTGTATCATCCGTCCCCTCATCACTATAACTCCTGTGCCTTTGTCACATCCACCGGCTGTAAAGATTTCAAAGCTAAGGCTAAGTCTTCTACAACAGCAGGTGAAGGCTTTATTTCAACCAGGGTTGATTCTAAACTACTTAAAACTTTTAAAATATTGGTCTATTTCATTAGCATTGTTTGAATTCTGAATTGAATGCATTCTATTATTTATAAAATATTTTATATGGTTTTCAGGCACTGTATTACTGAAGATATAAACTTTGAGAAAATATTTCAATATGTTACATGATCTATTATCTCATTTTCAGTCAAGAGAAGCATACTTTCTACCACATAATAAAACAATAATGAATGCCTCTTTCAAGAAGGTTTGCCACAAGATAACTTAAAATTGGAGCAAAGTAAAAACTGTACAATTAAAAAACTCCACTGCACAGATGGCACAAATCTTCTGGCTTTACAGACTCAAAGCAGATGTGTCTCGCTATGAGGCACAGAACACGCATTTTTACCCCCAGTGAATTTACTTGCAAAACTCTGATTGCAAATGAGAATGAACTTGACACCTGAACACTGTACAAAAACTACCACACAATCAAATGTGAACGACTCTTTTGATTTTAAGGAATCCGCTATTTTCTACTAATGGACCATCTGTCTCAGTATGCAAGTCAATGTCCACAACATAAATCCCTGGTTGCTCTTCTCTTCCCAGGAGAAGGTTAGAGACACACACACCGAGAGTCTGCTATCATGCCTGCCTTTGAAGATGAGACGCACATAAGCCTGAAAAGCATCCCTCACGGCTGATCTAAAACATTTCAGGGCAATCTGGAACATCTTCAGCTGTTCAAAAGCCAGGGGGAGAACTGAACTAGGCAACACCTGACGCCCTTCCTCTCTTTAATAATTCATCTAATCACTTCACTTAACACAGTGGGTAGCCTTCCATCTGGCAGCATTTTAATTCAAGCCCCTTGTTTTAAATCAGCAGACTGTACCCAGTACCTATAAGCCTCTCTAATCAAAGAGAACACAGCTACCACACACTCCTTTTAATAAATTTGTTCAGATTTGCCTCCTCTAGACAAGATCACTGCAGTAAAAATATCAAACAGGTTTTTTTTTAATCTGAAAGGAATAAAGTATTTATTTTTAGGAGCTCAGGAAGCTGTGAAAAGGAACTAAAGGCTGAGCAAATAGCAATTTAACCTCTTGAATTAGAGGGAGACTGCAGGAGGAGAGCATCTTACAACCTACCATTTGATGAACAGAAACAGTGGCTGCCACGAGATAGTTGAGACATGTACAGGAACTGCATGGCAGAACGATGCAGAGAAAATTCTGAACATTTTCTGACAGCTCATGTCACACAATGAAAAACACATAACCCAAGAGAGGAAGTGATCAAACTGAATATTAAAACTCCAGAGATCTTTTCCTTGCTTAAATATAATTTTACATGCTTTGCCCAATTCATCACTTTATATAACACTTTTAAAGTTTCTTTAAAACCGTACTAACTAGGCCGGCCCCGTGGCTTAGCAGTCAAGTGCGCGCGCTCCGCTACTGGCGGCCCAGGTTCGGATCCCGGGTGCGCACCGACGCACCGCTTCTCCGGCCATGCTGAGGCCGCGTCCCACATACAGCAACTAGAAGGATGGGCAGCTATGACATACAACTATCTACTGGGGCTTTGGGGAAACAAAAGGAGGAGGATTGGCAATAGATGTTAGCTCAGAGCTGGTCTTCCTCAGCAAAAAGAGGAGGATTAGCACGGATGTTAGCTCAGGGCTGATCTTCCTCACAAAAAAAATAAATAAATAAAATAAAATAAAACCGTACTAACTGCTTGCTTCTCAGAGAGTGTTCCTGCTTCAATGGTGTCAGTATGTATTTCTTTCTTAAACCAAAATATAGAATATATTTTTGCTAACTGTGTCCTAAGAATGCACTATTTCATTTAAATCAGAATCCAGACACAGCTGTTACATAAACGTTTGTTTCACTGTTAGGCAAAAGTACAAGATGTAAAATAATTTCTTTTAATTTGGGAACTTGGCTTTATTATCAATTCTTCCAGGAGAGTACAAAAAATGAGTTCAATGTATATTTTCCTTTGCCTTGACTACAGCACTGAACAGAATATTCCATCCCTCACTCTCATCCTGGAGGTGGTCAACATTATAAGCAGCGAGGAGTGGGGGGCCATCACTAGTGTCCATTTCTGCTCAGTACCCGGAGGGCAGTGCACCCACAAGTGAGACCCTGCTACCAGATAAGTCACTAACAGTATAGCTGACTCTCAATTTTTCAAAGAGAAATACAATCTTATCTATGTTTTTTTTTTCCTTCATTGTCATTTGGCCTTTGTAACATCAAGTGTTTCTACCACAGAGTGCACAGGGAAAGAAAAAAGAGGGAAAAAAAAAAAAAAACCACCCCAGCCCACGTATTCTGCTTGACTATAGCAGTAATATGCTTGGACGGGGTGGCAGTCTAAAGTTCCAGCTCGATGTATATCATCTGTAGATTTCAATTCCTGGCTATCTCCATTGCTGCTGAAAATAAAAAGCCTGCTTTCACAGCTTCTGGCCAAGTCAAAACTGACCTGGAGCACAGCAGAGCATCAACATGAATATCAAACTCTATTTATCAAGTGTTAGGTTTGTAATACCTCCAAGACTACAGTAGAGCTGTGCTGTGGCAGAAAGAATTTGGGACTCGGAGACAGAAAACCCTAGTCCCAGCTCCCCTACTGAACTGTCTACAAGAACTTGGGCCCGCTGCGTCTCGTCCCATACTCAGCTTTCTCCACAATATCAAGTGAATACATTAATTATCAAAAGGAACTGCCAACATGAAATCAGATGATAGAACGTATGTGAAAAACACCAGAAAATGTAAAAAAAATTAGCAGTTAGAAGCAGTTACTGTGGTGTTGTCATTGTAATTAATATGATTACTGGATAATTCTTTGAGCCAACTGGTGGCTAAACTAGACTTCCAAAAGGAGGGGCAGAACCCAGTGCCTGGCAGGCATCACTTTCATCAAACATAATGGACACAAAGTCCCTAAAATCCTGCTGCCTTAGACTATCTCTTCAAACAAACACGTCCAAGTTTTACAATGCCTTGCCACAGAAACCCAACTGTGAAAGCCTCCTAATATCTTTTAGGTCTCAGGATTCAGTGACCCCACCTCCAAATTAACAGCAGCAAATGGATGCATCTAGCTTTGGGTGGTTTGGGTTTTTTTTTTTTTTTTGTGAGGAAGATCAGCCCTGTGCTAACATCTGCCAATCCTCCTCTTTTTTTTGCTGAGGAAGACTTGGCCCTGTGCTAACATCCGTGCCCATCTTCCTCCACTTTATATGGGACGCCGCCACAGCATGGCTTGCCAAGCAGTGTGTCAGTGCGCACCCAGGACCCGAACCGGCGAACCCCGGGCCCCCGCAGCAGAGCACGAGCACCTAACCGCTTGTGCCACCGGCCTGGCCCCATGGGTGGTTTGGTTTTAATGCTCCTGACAGGCTTTAAAGATTCTGTAATTTTTAAAGACCTTTGGCTCAAAATTCAAATATAAAGGCATTTGATGGATATCTGAAGAGATTATCTCAAACTTATGGAAATAAGAAAACAATAAACTAGATCATTCAAAATTACTCAACTAAAATCAGCAAACTTTTTTTCATTTCTGTAGAATATAAAAAATACAACAGGGACAGTCCCTAATTTTACTGCTTTACTGTCACTTGAAAAATGTGTTTCAAAAGAGAATATACCACCACCACCACCATTAACATCCATATTATAAAAACAATTTCTACTCCTAGTGCAGCTCCAAGATCAAATAAATCAATGCAAACACTTCTGCTTGCAGTTAAAAAAAAAAAAAAAAGCAGCCTTGTTCATTTCCTGTGATGCTTCTTCATAAAAGATATTTGTCAAAAATTGTCCCACAAAGCCCTTCCAGGTTATGAAAAAAGCAAGAGTAAATTAAATTTAGGTTAAATCTGTGATAAACGAAAATTTTACTTTAAATTCTACACTGATTTGATTCTTAATAGTATTTTAGGACTCCTTATATAAAGAATGCATATATTTATTTAGGCTGATTTAATAGGACTTGGAATTTAACATGACTATTTTAGGTAACCATGAAGATTTATAGTTAATGTACTTGTAAGATACTGTTGATTATAACCAGATTTTAATTGATGTCAATGTCTTAGACAAAGTTTTTATCACAAATTATAATATTCTTTTATTTGGAAACTATGTTCCCCTTAAAGGGAACATAAGTATCATATTATCACATAAATCATATAAATGAACTACCCCCATAGCTCCAATCCCACAAAAATGACAGCTGGTTCAGAAATCTCTCCTATATAAACATCACATTCTTGGTGAAATCGACAGTCTTTTCATGAAAAAAAATTAAAATATGTGCTAAAATTAGAAAATGCAAAAGTCTAATTTGCAATTTCAGAAAAGTACTGCTTGAAATAAGGTGAAAAAAAGAGAGAAATTATGGCTGTTTATATTTAGAACGGGCTTTTTTTAAAACATTATCACCATAACTTAGTAGATTCTGTAATGACACCAAAAATTTGAATAAAAACAACATTCATCTGCATGCCAGGATTTCTTTAAGAAGGGACCACTGCTTGTAAAGTAACTTTTTCCTTTTCTCCAATATATTTACTCTGAGAAAATTCTATCTTTATTTAAAAGTCTAATGTGTGCATTTGAAATAAGTGTAAAAAGAAGGAACAGCCTTCAAGAAAACATTCTTTTTTGGCATTCTGTTACCTTGAAATCTCCTCTAGTATTCTTCATACAGTTCAGAGACTGTGCATGAATATAACAGGACATTGTTTTGCAAAATGGATTGTTATTCAGATATTGTCTCCAAGATGCCACAGCTGAGTTTTCCATTTCCAATTTAAAATACTGCTCTAAATAGTACTTAGAAGGGCTATGACCACTTATGTTTCAATACAAAATTGTCTTTTCTAATTGACGTTGGTGATTGAAGTGGTGCGATGAGGAATACTCATTAAATAATTGCTTTCACTTCAATAACGTGTCATTATCCCTTTCTTGAGTGTACATCTGGCTTGTACGTTTTTAAAAAGGCAGTTTAGATTTTACAAGTTCAATAAAAATGAATAACCCAAAACATACTTCTATCACCATGAAATTTCCTGCATGTTTTTACTGCAACAAAAATATCCTCCTTCTTCACTGGATTTCCCTAAAAAGACATGAAAAAATATATGCATATATGAGTCAATGTTATCTTAACTTCACACCCACATTATATCTCATTGCATGCTCTGGAGTTCAAATTTACCAGTGTCATGAATATCACACCTATTTTCAGGATTAAATTTTAGGGGAACAAAGGAACTGTAGTTCAGCTGACAACAAGGACTCACATCAGCCAGACCTGTGCGTGAATCTCAGCTCTGCCATTTACACTCGGTGTGTCATCTGGACCAGTTTCCTCAGCTCTCTGAACTTCAGGCTGCTCATTTAGAAAATGGGAATAGTAACCACCAGTAAGGCTGATTTATTACTACTATTTAGGAAGCACATCGTAGATACCCAATAAATGTTAGTTTTCTTCCTGTTCCTTTTTCCAGCTGGTGAAGATTTTGACAAAGGGAGAGAAGTAGGGGCATGTTTTAGTGCAAAATAAGAGAAGACTCCCTTTTGATGTTTAACGTATTTTTACGGCCCCTTTATTGTCTACCTAAGTCTAGGCTACAGCGATGTCTGTCCTCTGCCAAAGGTAGGATGACTTCAAACACCTGCGGGGTCCTGGAGCCCTGAGCTGGCTCCAGCCCAAGCTGATCACCCCTACTAAAGGGGGCACATAGAGGTATTTGTGGACAACCCCAGGCCATGGATTGTTTCATGGGGTAGGGCGGTGTTCTGAGCCCTTTATCACCTGTCTTAGGCCTGTAATAATAGATCAATCATGACTCCTACATCATTTAGGGCCAGTTTACAGTGACATCTAACCACAGCTTTGTCATGTCACTCAAGGCACTAAGAGGTCAACCCCTCCAGATTCCCTAAAAGAGCATCAAAGAACAGCAAGCAAAATGTCTAGAAAGACAGGTTTTCCCCCTCAGGAACTGTGCAAACATTATAGAGTCTCTCCCATTGTTGCAATGTGAGTGTGAGTGTGTGCGTGTGTATGTGTACATATATTCATCTTTGAAAATGCAACACAGACTTCTGTGTGACTGACTTGAAAATAACAGACAGCATTTGAAAAATAAATATATTTTTCCTCCTGAGGAAGAACTGTTAATGACCCGGTGAGTTTCAGGGGTCTTCAGGCTCATCGGGGGGACTGGACCAAGGGTCTGCCATATGAAGTAAGTTTGTTCTGCAAGTTCTGGACTTTCAGGTGAGATCAAAGCAGGGTCACCGGCTGAGAGGGTAAAAGGGGTGGGGGCTTGAGGAGAAGGCTTAGGTATAATGGGAAATGTCTGAAATTGCCTTTCTAGGAAATGGAATAGATATTCCAACAGACACGTGTTCTAACATCAAGAGAAGAAATGACCCCAGGCACACTGGCTCTAAAGAGCTGGGGCTGGCAGTGCTGCACAAAGGCTCTGGAGTGAGACGTGCTGTCACAATCCTCACTGCCCGCCCTACGTGCCGTGGAACCCTGAGCAAGCACCTCTCAGTGCCTCTCTTCTCATGTGTACAATGGGTAACAACAGTGCTTACCTTACAGGGCTGTTATCAGTAGAAACACGGTATATGGTTCTTCCTTGGCACATAGCACATGTTGACTTTTTTCAGTATGTAAATGCTAGGACAACATTATGCACAGCATGTACACTTTCCTTTGATATGCAAGGAAGTTTTCCTTCTGTGACTTACACAAAGTGGTAGAAAAGAATGGAAAGTGGTAGCACAGGAGGAGTCCACACCATCTGTACAAAACTCAGGCACGGGAGTAAGGGGAGGTCCATCGCCTTTGTCCCAGACGTACAGGGCAATCTGTCACACGGCAGGAAACTGGCAATGAGTGAAAAACTCAACACCACCACAAGTAAACGGAGGCATGAAATATCTCAAGGGAAAGCAGGCCACACCTTCTCTAGAGTATTAGACTGAACCATATCAATTTGTCAATATTCAATAGTTTTATTTTACTTACAAAAATAGTAATTCCGTGTAGAGCAATCTAATCGTTTATTAACAATAAACAATTAACTAAGAATCAATATTCTAACCTCCAAGATATTTCAAAGTTGGCATAAGCAATTTTAGGGAAGCTATTTTAGGGATTCTGAAACATCACAGAGAAAGATGAAAGAAAATATTATCATGACTCTGGTTTCCTGTAGTATGATAAGTGCATACCCTAACTAACTAACTTGCTAAAAACATTCAAAAATATTGGATAAAATATCTTTAAAATCATTTTAAATATATTGCTAAATTGGCACAAAAGTGTGGAACTTATGAGGACAAAAATACCAAAGTGAGAACCTGGAGAAAAGGGCTGCGAGGGTGGTTTTCCCCAGTAGGTACCAGATGAACTCTGGTTATGCTGTTTCTGATACGAGTTAAGAGAATAAAGCCTCTGACCCACCCAAGGTGTGGAGTGTCGAACAGCAAACCCCCACACAAAGCTGGGACCCGAGGCAAGATGGAGGGGAAAAATCATCTCCAATCTTTGAGATTTTGTAGCCAAAAGCCAGGCCTCCCTAATTTGTCATCTATATGGTCCAAAACACCTCTAACAGAGTAATTTAAAGTGGCCCCAAGTCAGGATAACCCTATAGCAGCAGGCAAAAGAAATGCAAATCCTTACGGAGGAACCCACAACCTTAACAGAGGGCCCCGAGGACTGCCACCGATCAAGTTTCAAAGGAGCAAGAATACTCAGAGAAAAATCACAAAGAAATGAGTTGATGAGCAAGAGCCAGCAGACACGGCTTAATCAGACATACAAGACTTCAGGGAGTGGAATTATCAAACAGATTATAAAATTACTATGTTTAATATATTTTGATAAAGAAAAGAAAAACCTTAAAACATGAGCAAAATTTTCATAAAAAAGACAATACAAAACAACAAGGCAAATTTGAAAAAGAAATGACTACAACTTCTAGAAATGAAAAAAGTAATTAAAGTGAAAAATTTAATGTTTAGGATAAACAGCATATTAAACACAGCTAATAAAAAGTTAGAGAACTAAAAGATGACGCCCCCAAAATTATCTGAAGAGCAGCAGAGCAAGAAATACAGATGGAAAATGCAAAAGTTCAGACCCCGGCCTACATCTCAAGCTCCAGAAGGAAATAACAGAGACAATGCCGATGAGAAAATAATTGAAAGGATAATGGCTGAGAATTTCCAAAAATTGCATAACAATCCTATTATAGAAAGGGCCAGTGAATCCTAAGCAGGATTAGAAAAAAAGAGTCTACATCCAGACATTTCCTAGTGAAACCAAAGACAAAGAAATAATCTTAAAAGCAGGCCGAGAGAAATGACAGATGACCTACAAAGGAACCACATTAGACTGATGGTTGATTTCCCAACGCTGCAGCTTCAACACAAGCCAGAACACAGTGGACTAACACCATTCTGATGAGAAAATGACCAACAATCCAGAATTGTATATACAATGTAACTATGTTTCAAGAACAAAGTTGAAATAAATATTTTTAAAGAGAGAGAGGAGAACATACCCCGTGGCTAAAAGAAATTCTAAAGGATGTAGCTCAGGAAGAATAAAAATGATCCCAGCTGTTAAGTCTTAGAAGGAAGATGTAATAGTGAGCAAAGACACTGGCAAATACACGGTTAAGCTAATACAAATGTAAACTGCTTAAAGTAATGATAATATTTAAGTTGCAGGGTTAAAAATAAGACAGGATAGGGGCCGGCCCAGTGGCATAGTGGTTAAGTTTGCACACTCCACTTTGGCAGCCCAGGGTTCGCGGGTTCAGATCCTGGGCACGGACCTATGCACCGCTTATCAAGCCGTGGTGTGGCAGGCGTCCCACATGTAAAGTAGAGGAAGATGGCCATGGATGTTAGCCCAGGGCCAATCTTCCTCAGCAAAAGAGGACAATTGGCAACAGATGTTAGCTCAGAGCTAATCTTCCTCAACAACAACAACAAAACAATGAAAATACTGAACAACAAGAGCATATGAATTGGTAGTTGGATAAGCAGAGTTAACTTATTCTACGGCCCCTGAACTTTCAGGATATTGGTTAATTAGCCATTGTTAGGTTAAGAATACATGTTAAAGTATTTAAAATAACCAATAAGGCACAGACATAGAGACTGAACTTCCAAAATAGCAGAGGAGGAAAAAAAAAAAAGGAATAAAAAAGAAGAAAAACTAAGGGAAAACAAGGAAGTTTTAAAGAGAAAAAAATGGGGGAGAAAGGATAAAACAAAGTGTTAGAAATCAATTCAAATATATTAGTAACCATGATCAACATAAATGTAAATTCGCCATCTACTTTAAAGATAAGGACTGTCAAACTGGGAGGAAAAAAAGATACATCCTCTTTAAAGAGAGATACATCTAAAATATGAGGACAGAAAAGGGTTGAAAGAAAAAGATGAAAAACAATTATGAAGCGAACATCAAAAAAAGCTAGTACAGAAATATTGATATCACCAAATTAAACATTAAGGCAAAGAGCATGACCAGAGATAAACTCACTAAGAAGATGTAACGATTCTAAATTTGAATGCATCTAATTAACATAGTCTCAGAGTATAAAAAGTAAGAGTTGGTAGTCCACAAGGAGACATTGTCAAATCCACCATTATTAGAGAAGGTTTTCACATTCCTCCCTCAGTAAATGATAGATCAAGCAGACAAAACAAAAGAGGAAGGAAAGGAGGGAGGGAGGGAGGCAGAGAGAGAGAGAGAGAGAGAGGGAGGGAGGGAGGGAGGGAGGGAGGAAGGAAGGAAGGAGGGAAGATATCAAAAAAGCACACTATTAATTGTGCTTTAATAGATTAACCTATTGGGTTAAATCTATTTCTTCTTTAATCTAATAAATATAACGAGAATATTATACCCCCCAAATTAGAGCATACGCATCCTTTTCTCCATTTATGAAAAGTGAACATGAACTAGGCCATAGAGCCTAAAAAAACATTTCAAAACACTGTTATATAGACCACAATAATACTAAGTTAGACATCAGTAACAAAACACAGTAACAGTACACACCAATATAGTGGGTCACAACGAAAAATGTATTTATTAAAGTGGGTCACAGTCAAAAAGCCTCTGCCCTAGAGAAACACTTGCAGATGATCATCATGACACACATCAAAAATACTCATAGAAGCAATGATTGTAATAGCATAAAACCAGAAGCAACCCAGAAGCCCACTACCAGGAGAATGGATAAATAAACTGTGGTAGAGTCATAGGACAGACTGCTACAGAAAGTGAAAATCAGTTCATCGGAGCTGCATGCATCAACATGGATGAGTTCCAAATTGGAACAACACTCATGGTACAATTCTGTTTATATAAAGTCCAGAGGATGCAAAACTACATAATATTCAGAGACACATTCATATGTTGTAAAATATGAAGAAAAAGGAGAGATAATTCAAGAAAGTGTTTACTCTGATGAAAGGAAGGGGACACACATACAGGTGGCCTCAAAGTGACTGGTAATGTTCTCTCTCTTAAGCCAAGTGGTGACTACATAGATACTTTGATCTTTATACCTTTCACATATGTTAGAAATATTCTTCTGTATGTATCCAATGTTTAATAGATTCCCAAACCTGGGTATCCATACCAGCTGACTTTCAATTAAAAATATCTAGGCAGACCCCAGCTTTCAACTAGTCATGCTTTCCTTTTTGTGGAGGAGAAGAATGATATTTTACATGTATATTTCTCTTCAAATAAGTTATTTCATCATTTAAAAACAACCGAGAAGTTCAAGTCTCTAAAAGTGTGCCCTTTTTGCTCTGGCAGGCTGCCGGCACTGCTGGACTGAGTTACATGTCAAGATGGACCCCAACGTCCTAAGATACTGATTGCTGCGGAGTGAAAGGCAGGTCTCTCTTAGGCAGTCAGATGTGCCCATGAATGAAATGCACAAAGAGACCTTCATGATGATTTAGGAATGATTCATGATGGGACACCCTCCACCTGCCTCCAGGATGATTGGTCACAGATGTGCACTAAATGCCAAGGGTTCTGGGGGTTCAGGATGGCATGCCACGGCGCCTGCTTGGGACCAACTGGCTCAACTCTGCTCCAGAGGGCGAAGCACAAAGACATGACGAAGGTGTATGTACAACCAAAGCACCAAATAAGACCAGAGCTACTTTTAATGACATTTTTGCATGTTTTTTAGCAATCTACCCCTGGACCCATCCACCTAGCTTTAAAAAAAGAATTGAGAATCACAAGATGCCATCTTTTTCACTGCTCCTTCTCCACCTACATGACTAAAATGAGCCTAAAAGAGAAGGGCCTAATTCACCGGAGCGGAATTACCTTGGTGAGGACAAGATGCATGTTGGTGGGAGGGGTTGCACTGTGAGGGAACACAAAACACCTTTTATACCAAAAAACATGAATTCTTGATTACTAAGACTTTTAACCAAACAAACTATGACATACCTCATGTTTTAAATCTATTGTAAAGTCAGATTTCAGGGATTCACTCTTTAATCTCTTGGTAAGCCTAGAAAACAGAGATAATTTGAGGGTTGTTTTTAAAACCAGAAGAAGTGTCAAACAAGAATAACACATTCTTGAGACATTCTAATGTTTGAAAACAGATGAAAGTACAAATGTTAAGATAAAAAAATGAGAGTTTAATTTTCTTGAGGCAAAGCACTGTGCAAAGGCAATTATACGTTGACCAGGAAATGTTGCAAATGCAGCATTCATTATTTCAGCGTCTCGTAAAATACAATACGACACAACACAATAAATTAAATGCCTTAAAAAAAAAGCCACAAAGTTTGTTGACTCCTGGTAATCCTTACACTAAATAATGACAGAGAAAGAAAAAGATAAGAAAAAGAGCTTGCATGACAGAGAAACAAAAGTTGCTACTTTTCAGTTTCCTACTTTTAATAACCCAAATGAATTATAGCTTGTGGAGTTTCTAGGGGGAGGGAGTGTGTTGTTTCGGGGAAGAATAACAGTTTGATTTCAAGTCATTTTCTTGCTTAAAAAATTTTCGATGGGCCAGCCCCGTGGCTTAGCGGTTAAGAGCGCGTGCTCTGCTACTGGGGGCCCGGGTTCGGATCCCGGGCGCGCACCGACGCACCGCTTCTCCGGCCATGCTGAGGCCGCGTCCCACATACAGCAACTAGAAGGATATGCAACTATGACATACAACTATCTACTGGGGCTTTGGGGAAGAAAAAAAGGAGGAGGATCGGCAATAGATGTTAGCTCAGAGCCGGTCTTCCTCAGCAAAAAGAGGAAGATTAGCATGGATGTTAACTCAGGGCTGATCTCCCTCACCAAAAAAAAAAAAAAAAAAAAAAAAAAAAATCTTCGATGGCTCCTTTCAATGCAGAATAAAGCTCCAATCCCCTGGGCCCAGCCTTGAGAGTCCCACCACTCCCTCCACCATCCCTCCACACTCCCGCCCACTGTTCTCTCCTACTGCTCATCTGCCTGGTACACCTGCACCCAACCTGTACTTGGAAATTTTTCTTCAAGACTAAACTCCCGGGCAGCTTCTCTGTCAAACTGTTCCAGACTTGCCCACCAGAACAAATGGAAACTCCTTTGCTCCTAGAGCAGGAAACACAGCCCCACTAGCTTTATCACATGCATTATAATCCATTGTGTCCCTCTGCACTACACCTTCTTTGTATCACCAGCATTGTCCACCGTGCCTGGCCAAAGGGAGCACTCAGTGAGCGGCCTTCCAGGATGAGGGCAATATAGTCCTGGATTCCAAGCTGAGTGAGGTAGAATTACATACTTACCAAGACCACTGAAATACCACATGGTTCTATATTGTTACACGGTTGGAGACTAGACCATCAATTTCAAATATAAACCTCCTAATACATATTTTAACTACAAAGAAATAATAATGATTTAAAAAGGAAAAGTAGTAATAAATTTCAAAAATCTTTAATGACTTTTTAGCCTGGTTGAGCCACAAAGGTTTCTTTAAAAATTTATTTCTAACTAGAGGAAAGATAAAGACGGAGGACGCAGGTTATAATCTATGTTTAGATATAAAGCATTGGTCTCACGGTTGATATTAACGTAGCCTGGTGGCAGATAGCTTCAAAAGAAGCCTCATATAATCTCTGTCACATTCCTCTCAACACCTGCCTGCGGATGTGAGAGCAGGAGTATGTGAGGACACATAAAGAGCCTGTGTCCTCAGATACATTCTCGATTTATATGAAGAGAAAATATCTGCCCTGACATGGAATCTTGTCCACTTTGAATTCTGCTCAGTTGGAGCCAGTTTTTATAAATAAACTACATCAAGGTAACTTTGGAATTTGGACTCATACCAAGTGCCTTCAAAATCTGATCAGACCACATTCAGACTCCAAAGACAGAAAAAGTCATACCTGGGCTGACTGCCACAGGCAAGGAACACAAAGTGGTGATCAGAATCCAGTGGCATGTGACACCCCTTGTTAGATGGCCATGCTTCACGGGCCTCTTTTTAATCAACAATAAACACCTCTGAATTGTTGCCCTAAATATGCTCTCTAATTTTTTGTGACTTTTTAAGTTTCTTTCTCATTCGATTCCTGAAAATTTTTCTTGGGGGGAAACCTCGAAGGGGGAAAAAGTGAAGACTACTGACAGAGCTTCTTTAAGATGGAAAATGACTGATTTGAGGACAGAAAAATATGTGCACTGACATTTTTCAGGGGCTGTGTCTAGCCGCCTGTGGAGTCTACCATAACCAAGTGAGGGTCACCTCAACATCACGAACTTCCTGTGATGAGTCAGCCTTATGTGACAGCCCAAGCCTAAGTCAGTCACCCTGCAAACGTGTTCAAGTTCTAAAAGTGTGCAGGGAGTTCATCTCACTGAAAAGGCAAGTCCCAGTAGTGAGAACTAGATTTCATTTTTCTATACACCAAGCAAGACAGCACAAGGGTTTTTCAAATGCTAATTTCAGTAACCAACCGTGCCAAAAAAACAATTAAGGTCAGAAATTCCAATTACCTAGAAAGAATATTTCCTCATTAAATATTCAGTTCCTGGCAAATACGACATTTGATATTCAGTTTTCCTATATTTAGAAGGTGTTAAGTCATGTCCCAATAACAGTTCTAATGACAAGACCAGCTAGACCGGAAACTTGCGACAGACATAGAGCCCCTTCAACTCCATAACAGGAAAACCTCCTAGCTGACTTCTCGATTCCCACTTGGGAGCCAGTCAACAGAGCAAGATATTGAAGGAAATCTAGATAAGGTTTGCTGGTGGAAAAACAACAGAAAAAACCAGTAACAGCGTTCTGTAATAATACCTGTAATAACACAATGAGACAAAGGGAATTGACATTCCTATAGTGGGCACTGTTGATTGACTACACAATACAGAGCTTCCCCTTCATTCTTCCTACGAGAATTCTGATTTTGATTCATTATTGAGCCCAATAAATAGGCTCCAGAGTCAGAATTAGTTTGATCCCAACCAAAGCACTAAAATTTCCTGGCAACTGTGAATGGTCCAGGGGTTGGCACGTGCCTGAAGCTGACTCAATCAACTTCAATGGGACAAGACCCAACTAGAGACTGAGGATAAGCACTTACATTCCATGATTAGAGAGGTTCTCTATTGACAGACATAAATAAGAAAATGTAGCCCTTATTGCCTTGAAACCATAAAGGGAACCAGATTTAGGATGAACTGATGCTGTATACCAAGCAGGAGAGACAGAAGCAGCGTCCTCAATAACACTGTTGACTCCTGCATCAACCAACCACAGACCTCACCTTCCAATTACAGTCATAATATTTCCTTAATCCAGCACGCTAACTGATACAGTTCCGAATAACAGAAGGAAATAAAGTCAGCACATTAGCTTTGAAACCGGGAAAAACCAACTGGGAAGATCCAATTTTGCAATTGATGGGGCTAACTGATACTTTTATGCCTCCTTAAGTTTTAAGTATAATACCGATTTCTTAAAGAATAAATTAAGAATCTCCTATTAGAAAGCCATTTTAAAATGTATCCTGGCCACAAGACAGTTGCTATGCTAGATGGGTTATATCATTTTGTTTGTTTGATTACTTGTCTGTATCACAAGAAAAAGGAAATACAGTCTAAGATAACTAGAATTTTGAATTTGGTGCTAGGGTAGAGCCTACATTTTTATTTTGTTTTGTTTTTGCTGGCAGGGGAAAAGGAGGGGAGGCTGGGAGAAGACCACGGATATTAATTAACTACAAACATTCTACAGTTTGTTGGTAATGGCTCAATGTTGGGAAAGCAGATGACACTGAATGCAGAAGGTTAAGTGATGCCTCACTCCTCTCTCATGTCAGAGTTATGGGGGAAGCACTGGAAATTTTCTGAACTTATGCAAAAGATTAGTCTTTTGGGCCCAATTCCCTTAGCCATAGTTCCCTACACACCTTACTGCAGTGACATGAGGCCCTCAGTTCTCTCTCATATCTCAATAGAAAATATTGTTAAGCTTGACCAGAAATGGAGTAAGCTGGCACTTGTCAATAGATGTTCTCAGTGACCTCATAAACACAATAAGGAAGAGAATCACGTGTCTGTGGGACTACTTCTACAGAATGCCAGGTAACGCAAAACATAAAGTCTCCCCTTAACAAGGCTAATATCTTGACTAATATCTGCACAACTACAGCCCCAGTTCACAAGCCCCTGGCAGTTAGTCACATGGCGAGAATGAGTTAATTATAAGATGAGCATAAGCCAGAGCCAGTAGAACCTGCCAGGACTTCGGTTCCTCTACAATGTATGAGCAGTGAGGCCAGAAGGTGGAATTCATAGACCCAGGAGGTTTTATAGAACAGATTATGCTTTAATGCCAGCATACCAAGCAATAAGAGTTGGACTAAACTGTCCTATAAAAGGATACTAGGAGTCAAAGGCGTGTTCAAGACAGATCACTTCCATCCACGTGGTTTAAAAAATAAGTCAGAAGAGAAGTAAGAATTAACAGTTACTTCTTACACCTAACTCAATAAAAGGGTAATTGCATTCAGCATCAAGAAGTCTCCAAGAAGGTCCTTGCTGGACAAGGAAACTGGGATGGGATGGAGGAAGGTGAAACTCTTTGGATGACCAGGATCTGCCTCTAGGATGAGAGGCCTCCTGGATCAGAGAGGAGGGATGGAGAAAGAAGGTTACACTGGCTTCAGAGAAATCGCTATATCCCGAGGCTTGCTGTATAGGGTCTTTGTAGGTCTGTTGGTTTCCTCGTTAGCCCGGGGGAAAGAAGGCACTGCCTGTACTCAGCGTACGTCACAGGACAGGTTATAGCTGTACTTGTCTCTCAAGGGACTTAGCTGGTTCTCCAAGGAATGGTAGAGAAATAGACTTATGAAGAGTTTATCCCAAGTCAGGGAAACCACAGCCACCCAGGACCTCTGCAGAGAAGCCAGCCCAAATAATTCCATGCTATGAAGCAAAGAGAGTAAGGATGAACTAGAGGAAGGCTGCTGCTGCTGCAGGAGGCAGGAAGAATCCTGAAGGGACAAGGAACAGTGCCTCAGCCTGGGACATGCCGCTTACAGCATCTCTAGAGACCAGGCTAAACAAAGGTAGCTGAGCCGGCCCCAAACTCAGGCTGCTGGACACAGCTGGAAAAGAGTGTCCTGGGAACTCCTTGTCTTCAGGCTGCAGCAAATCCAAGCTTAATCAACTTGAGAATAAACATGACCCTGGCCTGCTGAGATAGAACACATCCTCGTCACTCCTACAGAGAGCAAAGCCAGGCAAACCAGCAGAGGGTGAGAAGGGAATGAAGACTCTCTCTTCTCGTCTCCCCTCCCCTTCCACCTCAACCCTTCCAAGAATGGAGCAGGGAAAATGTGCAGATCCTCCTAGGCATGCTTGGTACAGGCTGGGAGCAGGGCACCCTTGCCCAGCGGTCTCAGGACTGGGTCAAGGTTTTTAGTTGGAGATAACACAATCCACTCCGGCCAGTTTAAGCACAGAGTGCATTTCTTAAGACATATAGATAGCTCACAGAATTACTGGAAAGTCTGCATAAAGAGACTCCAGGCTGAGATTCCAAGAACAACCCCAGATCATACCACAGGAATGGGTGGTCAGGGAGCTGTGTGGCCTCTACCACCATCAGGAAGCTGCTACATCAAGAAGCCACTGTCTCAGCTGCCAGCCCTCAAATGACCCTTCCTCCATAATGATCTCTCAAGCCAAATGCATTGTCCCCCATGCATGTGGGGACCCCCATGCACTGTCTCCTCCCCCACATAACTCAATTGCCCAAAAGATTTTTCAGCAGCCCATCCACCTACTGGGACCTACCTCACATAGCGCATAGCGGTCCTCTAGTAGCAAGGAGGGCTGGACAACATAGGGTTCTGTTGCTGTTGTCAAGTTTTGGATTCTACATTAGGAAAGAGGCTATTACACTGCAAGGAACTTTCAAATGTCAAGGGAATGGTCAAGAAGTTTTGGCCAGCCACAAACAACAAGGCGTCCACTACCTTGTATATCTACAATGGGCCAAAAAGTTTTTCAAGCCTCCAAACCCTAGAAACAGCACACTTAACGTAAGAAATAAAAGAAACTCTTTCATCTTTGAAGATAAAAAGGCTACAACTGCTTTATCAACTTTCCATTCTCTAAAGAACAAAAACACATAATAATTAATCTGAAGTATTCAGATTAAGAGAGAGCATCTCAACAACCTTATTTCTCCTGAATTACAACTTACCTTCACTTTTCACATCTAAAAAAAGCATTATTGCGATCATACACACAAATAGCTAGGTATGAATACCCATATGAATGCCTTCGGGTAGCTGTCCCTCCTGCCTGGCCCATGTTTCAACATGTACACCTGTGCACACAATTAGTCATCAACTCCGAAGCCCAGGCATGTTACTGATTCATTTTCTTACTGATGATCAAAGTCACACCTATAGCTAACTAGGTCCATTAACAATAGTGGTAACACTTCTGGGTGTAGAGTTCTCAGAGCACTCCTGTGCCCTCCCTTAGTCTCACAATTTATTATGCACCTTATTCTGCAGGTGACTAAGAGGAAGTACAGAGAGGCTGGGTGATCAGTCTGAGGGGACTAGTAAGTGACTGAGCAGAAGCAAGAACCCTCGGGTGTGCGGCCCCTGCTCCAGGTCTTTCCACTCTACCGCACACCGCCTCTGGCTGAAAACCTCTCTTGAGATCCATCAATTACAATACTCAGAGAAATAAAAGTTGATCCACACACACAAAAAAACAAAGAAAAGTCTAATAAATTCTTACTTGTTTACAAGTGGAATACTAAGGGCCCAGCCAGCAGCAAAGTCTGGATATTTAAAAACTGTAGGATTTTCAGAAAAGGCATAATGGTGAATTATCGTAGATTCTTCATCATGTAATGCTTTTCCTAAAAACCATTCCTGTTAAATAAAGATATAAAATGTCATTTTTTAAAAAAGCCATTTCATGTAAGACCAAAAACAAAGTCACATCATTAGTTTTAGTTAAATATTCTGGGTAACAGAGAATTAGCACAGATTATGTATTTTTAAAAAATCTTAACAAAACTATAATTAATATTCATATTATAATGAACATAGCATAATCTTTGTTTATAAAAAGAGTAATTTAATATCATATCATCAGGATGAATGAAATGTTAGTCATTATACCATATATAAAAGCGGTAATTTATAGAATATTCCATATAAAAATACTATTAAGGCAACAAAAACAATGCTCCTTTATGACCCCACGAAGTTTGCAAAGAAGAATTTGAAAAATTCCTTCCAAATCAGTGCCTATTTTATTCATTTATTCATTCAATTAACACATTATTAATTGTTATCAATTAACCTTTAACATTTATTCCACACTGGCAGGAACATAGCTACATGGTAGTGGGGAGACAGAAAATAAGCAAGTAAATAAAGTAAGTTCAGATAGTGATTGCAATGTGCTATGATGAAAATAAAACAGAGGGACTGTGACTGCCCCGGAAAGAGAGGGAAACCTCTTCTGAGGTAACGATCCAACTGAGAGGAGACAACAAGGAGCCAGCTATGCACAAATCTGGGGAAGAGCAGGCAAGGCAGTTAACACAAAGTCTCCAAGGTGGGAAAAAGCTTGATACATTCGATGAAAAAAAGAGTCCAGTGTGGCTAGAATACACTGAGTGTGGGGAAACATGGTATGAAAGAGAGAGGCAGGAGACAGACCAGGGGGGTTCTAGATGCCAGTGGAAAGCAACACAGACTTTATTCTAGTCACAATGGAAGATTTCCACTTGTGGCCACAACAGAATAGCCTAGACCAGACCTACTTTCCCACCGACAACAAGTATAAAAGCTGGAGAAAATACTTAATGCAAATGATTGCATGAATGCATCAGAAAACAACAAAGACAGAGAGGATGTGAGGGCTAATACCCCAGAGGGAAGGGAAGCCCATCCCTGGGAACCCCATATTTACCTCCTTTTACCCTCAAGGAATTGGCTGGCTCCCAGAGCAGAGAAAAGCACAGAACAGAAAGCAGCAGCTGATGGCTTCTGCAGCCTCGCTGGACTGAGACAGAGGTTAGAGCTGGAGGCCGCTAAGAAGGTAGAGATTTAAGAGGATCCCAGAGAAGTGAGGCCAAAATTCGGCATATAATTTCCCTTCAACTCCTAGCCAGCACAAAAACCAAGGGAAAAACCACAAACCAAGTGGAAAGCAGCAGTGGAGAGGCTAAAGCTGAGCAAAGACTTCAGCAGAGGTGCTGGGGAGCCCAAGGCTGAAACCCACCCTGAAACTCTATCAGGGTGGAAAGGGGTCTAGGAGGACGGGCAGTCTGTAAATAGACCTACCCAAACAAGGTCTACAACCCAGAAGAATATTAAATCCTACCGTAGGAAGGGATATCATCATAGCCTCTTCAATTGTTCACATAAAATATCTGACATTTAGTGGAAAAGTACCAGGCATGCCAAGAAACAAGACCAGACCAAAAACAAATGAGAAATAGAAAGACATGCATAGATAAATCAGATTTTGCAGCTATCAAAAAATAACTGATTTGGATACTTAAGAAAATAGACAAAAAGATGAAGAATTTTACCAAAGAACTAGAACACACAAACAAGAGTCAAATGGAAATTCTGAAACTGAAAAATGCAATAACTGAAATTAGGATTCAAGAGGCTATTAGACACAAGCAAATAGAGGATTAGTGGCCTAAAAAGTAAGTCAGAAAAAATATCCAGATTGATGCACAACAAAGAAAAGAAAAGGAAGAAAATACAGAAAAGAGCATAAGAGCAACATGGGACACACTGAAAAGGTCTAAAAATACATGAAATTGGAAGCCCAGAATAGGAAGAGAAAAAGAATGGAACTGAATCAATATTTGAAGAAATACAGGCTTAGAATCTTCTAAACGGACAAAAGTCATCAAGCCATAGATTCATGAAGCTCTATAAACTGCAATCAAGAAAAATACAAAGAAAACCACACATAGGCATATGTTGGTTAAAAAGCAAAGATAGAGAAAATCTTAAAAGTAGATCGGGGGAGGGGTGTACACATTTCTTTCAAAGGAGCAAAAACAAGACATATAGTTGACTTTTCAAGAGAACGTGAAAGACACAGGAACAACATCTTTACAGTGGTAGAAGAAAATTACTGCCAACCTAAAATGCTATATCTAGTAAAACTATCTTAGGTGGAATGGGAAACAACTGGAAGTTTTTGAGCAGGTCAGTGTTATGATCTGAATTACAGAGAGGGTAGATTATTAGGATGGCAAAGAGTAGAAACCAGGAGACCAGCTAGGAGGCTCTCATAATGGTCAAGGCAAGAGATGATGCTAGCCTGGACCAGAGTGACAGTGTTAAATGTGGAGAGAAGATGGATGAGAGATGTACTGTGGAGGCAGACTCAACTGGATATTCCAACATGGGGTTTGGGGGGGGAGAGGAATCAATCATGAGTTCTAGGTTCCTTAAATGAACTGAATAGACGGTGATGCACTTCTGAGATGAGGAAGACTGAAGATGGGAGACGTTTAAAGGGGCATCCAGAGTTCAGTTTTGAACATGCTGAGTTCAAGGTTCCTATTAGATAAGTAGAGGTAATAAGCAGGCAGTTTAGTGTAGGAGTAGGGAGCACATGGCTCACTCCCTCGGTTCCTTCACACTCTGCACAAATGTGACCTGATCAGTGAGGTATTCCCTGAATGCCCTATATAGAATAGTAAGCTCACCCCCAATCTATCCTTCTTATTCTGCTTTATTTTTCTCCATAGCATTTATTACCATCTGACATATTATTTGTAGTTTTGCTTATTACCTATCTCCCCTGTAACAAGAACATCCCCTCCAGTGGGCAGAGATGTTGTCCATTTTGCTCACTGCTGTTTCCTGGTATACCTAACATGTAATAAGTACTCAATATTTTTTTCTTAAAAGAATGGAGTAAGCCCAGGAGAACTTGAAAAGGCAACTATCCCTATCAAAGAAACTAAAGCATTTATGGGGCCAGCCTGGTGGCATAGTGGTTAAGTTCATGCACTCCACTTCGGTGGCCCGGGGTTCACGGGTTTGGATCCCGGGCACAGACCTACACACCACTTATCAAGCCATGCTGTGGCAGCGTCCCACATATGAAGTAGAGGAAGATGGACACGAATGTTAGCCCAGGGCCAATCTTCCTCAGCAAAAAAGGGGAGGATTGGCAATAGATCTTAGCTCAGGGCTAATCTTACCCCCAAAAAAAGAAACCAAAGCATTTAATTTAAATCAAGTACCCTAACTTCTAAAAGTTTTATATATTTTCTCTCTTTTCCAACCATCAACACCTCACTCCCTATTCCTTACCAGAAAATAAAAGCAGGAGAGATACAGTACTATCTCTTAAGAGCCTTCTTTTGGTTGTGGTTATGTCCCAAATACCTCCCAGAGTCTTAGTTTTAGTCAATTCAGCAACAGGTCATAACTGAACATGTGTGAAAGCCATTAACTTAACTGTATGCTTAGGTTCCCAGTTCTACCTCATGATTTTCTTCTTGATACTTTGTCTACGGATATATCAAGTCATCACTGAGCAAGAGGAATAATTATAAGGCAAATGGCCTTGGCTTGGGATAGAAAATCTAACATCTTCAAAAAAATCAATAATATAGTACTTCATCAAACTACTAAACGTTAACCAATATGAAAATCATCACATTTTACATACCATGTCAATATAGCTTGTTTAAAAAAAATGAACATTTCAGTATATTTTAGCACCTTTCTCGCTAATCTTTCACTATTATAATCTCCTGTCCCAAACATAATTTTATGCAGAATATGTTTTTATGTTTTAACTGCTAATAGCAGTGTTCAGCTATTAGCTAGTATATAAGACTGTTTTTCAAAATGTTTGTGGGGGGTTATACTGTAAACTACTTGAAGGGAGAAATTAATATAGAATCTGTGGAAAGAGGCACTCCTTCATCTTTCTTAATGATTTTCTTTTTCTTCTTTTTTTTTTTTGTGAGAAAGATCGGCCCTGAGCTAACATCTGCCAATCCTCTTTTTGCTGAGGAAGACGGCCCTGGGCTAACATCCATGCCCATTTCCTCCACTTTATATGGGACGCTGCCACAGCACGGCTTGACAAGCAGTGTATCAGTGCACGCCCGGGATCCAAACTGGCGAACCCTAGGCCGAGGAAGCAGGGCACGAGCACTTCACCACTTGCGCCACCAGGCCGGCCCCCCTTAATGATTTTCTTAATAGCTTCATAATAAAGACAATTATAATCAACATACACTGTGAAAGAATAACTCAGACAATGCTCTATTAGTATCTTAGAATTACTCTTTATAAGCACCATGTTTTGCTTCTATTAAAAATAAAAAAGTCAGGACATTTCAGCAAATGCACACTTATATTAAAAGCAGATGATGGGGAAAAAAAGAAAGACTTCATTAAGATCTGTAAATTTATAGAAATCGCTTAGAAAGGCAATTTAACAAATATTAATTACTTTAATAAAGATTAAATTTTTCCATTTAAAATACATATTGCCTTGATAAGAATGACAGAAAGATATTGAAAGGAAAAAATGTCAGAATCAAACAAAATAACTGACAGCCTAACACATTACATAATATTATTTTAATATAGTTTATTTGTGTCATTACCAAAGCCAGGTTTGCTTTATACTTTTTTCCTCAAATTTCAAATGGTAGGGGGAAAAAACCACACTGGTTTGAGCTAACTTCAACATTATGTAATCTTTATTCCTTCATGCTAGTTTCAAAAGAAATAAAGCATCCTAGACTTTTTTTCACATGGTAGAGTTCAGAAAGGGGGGGGAACCATCTTATTTTACCTCTGTTCTGTACTTGCTTTTCATGAACTTGCTTTGAACTTTTAAATTTATCATTCCAATTTTCATTAAAAAGCAGAGTGAGTCACCATCTTTTCTGTACAGAATTAGAGCTACGGATAATGGAAAAATAATCTCCAGGTGAAATGAACACTAGGAGATTAAAACTCCTACATCCTAAAAAAGATCTGGGAGTTTTCCTCAAGTCAAAAGGAAACATGAAAGCCTAACAAATGTTTCACATAAAACATGGCAGAAAGTGCAGAGATGCGGGTTGGCATCATCTGAAAACACTGGCCGTGACATGGTCATAACTCTTCTTTCCTTTGAAGGAATTATTTTTTTTAACCTAACAACCTTCTCATCCAATTATATCTGTACCTTCCCAGAAATCAAAAGCATGAAGAGAAATCATAATGGATCCTTCCAGCATTTACAGAACATCAAAATAGTGGTTTTATTACAGTAACAAACTCTCTAGTGTTTGAGAAATCAGTCTAATGATCACTATTGCCCAAATTTTTGCATCTATATCAAGAAACCAAGTGGGCACCCAGAAGCCACCTTTCCTTCTCCACATCCTCATTAAATCTGATTCATTTCTTGAGTGAGCATCAGCATATGGGTGGGGCCAGTGTCTAGCAGTACCAGAAAGGAGCCAATTCTGCTTACTCCAAGTTTAAAGAATTCTATAACACGATCAGGGTGTAACCTGGGCTTCTCCAAGAGAACTAGATGGCCTGGTTTACTCTCGGCACATCTCCAGGCAGCCTTTAAACCTCCTGGGGCCCTGAGCATAGCCCAGCGGGAAAGCTGACATTACAGGGTTATTCAGTTGTTCACAAATGTTTATTGACCACCTAGTAAGTGTTAAACACCCTGCTTAGTGCTAGGGATTTAGAGGTAAAGGAGATCCAATTGCTACATCATATCTGCTCAAAATAAAATTTGAAAACATGAAAGTGGCAGCGAACTTCTAATGCAAGATGCATCCCTTCTCACCTCCAGACCTTCTCCAACATTGTTCCCTCTGCGTAGAACACTCTCTTTCTCCCCTATTAACTCCTACCCATCCTACAGGACTCAGATGAAATGTCACTTCCTGTCGTGACCCTCCCAGATTAGGTTTGATGCTGTGCTATGTGCTTCTAACAGCATCCTATGTTTCCCTCATTGAAAGAGGTCTCACTTGTGCCTGTCATTGCTGCTCTGATGGTCCACCCTCTCCCTGCTCTTCTGCACCATCTGTGTGGTCAGGATCCTTGTCTGTCTGTCCTAGCCCCTGCTCCCCACAGTGTTCCACACACAGTAGGTACTCAAAAAGTATTTCTTATCTAAAATAATATGTGGTCACTGGTGATAAAGAGAAATAACCAATTTAAACTTATCTCTTAACTCTGGGTTACAGTTTTTTAACTCTCTGAAATTGCTAAAACATATAAGTAGATTTTTTTCACTTAAAAATGGCTCATTATAAGTTCTATCCTTCTGAAAGCTATAAACCTCAAAGAGAATTATTAAAAGTTGCTTCCAGATATTCAACTATTATTTAGTTTGGTTTTAATTTTAAATTAAGTGTTTTTATTAGATTAAAAACTTCTTAATCAAAATTAAATCTTATTTTAAGCATTTTCCCAAAAAGATAAATACTGGTATTAAAATTATATTCACCTTTGATGGGTCATATCTTCTGAGTGTTTCTAAGAGTTCTGGAATTTGTATTCTTGTCTCTTCTTCACAGAAGAAAATCCATGATGAATTTCGGCTATATGTTACAGAAAAGCTGACAAAAAGAAAACAGGTTATAGTAATCACTTCTATAAAGTGAGTTTATAATAAAGTTTAAAACTGATAAGCAGGAAATGGATGAAGAAGACATAAAATGGCAAGAAATCTAGATATTTTTCTTCAATGTAGTTTCAGCTTATAGGAAAGCCAGATACTAATGGTTTATAAAACAGAGTTCTTAAAGTTAATTCTCTCCATAACAACATCAGTTCAGAAGATACATAATTTTCAAATATAAAAATCAAATATATCGACATTTTATCTTTTAAGAAAGAAACATTTAAAAATAAAAGCCATTCATGATTAAGAATCAACCAACAAGAAATTTGGTTAATGTAGTTGTTGTAAAAAGCAGAGTTCAAATTTACTTTACTTATAGACTCTGAGGAAAAATACACGCTCTTAACAAGAAAACTAGGGAGCACATAAGTGTTCAGGTAGAAATGTCAATAATTTACACCTTCTGAGTTAAACGTACTGTGGTAACAGTGGAAGTATGGTCCATGCACCTTCCTGCTTAGACAGCTGATGAAGAAGGAGGACTCTGGGGAGTTCCTAAAGAAATATTATCAAAGAAGAGAAATAAATAAAAATACAATATGATCACTCCAATTTAAAAAAAAAAGACTCAATTTTTAGAGACCTGATGTTTTACTCTTCATACTACTCTCTTTTTCTTCTCTTCAGGAGCTACTAAAAATGAAGGATTTGGGCTGCATCCACAAAACGGCCCCACCACCCAGGCACCGAACAGTGCTGAAGACCTCCAAGAAGAGTCTTCAGTGATCCCCGGAGCTGACCTGAAATTTGCGGATTTGCAGAGGTGACTGGAAGTGAAGAGCCCGGAAGTAGTTAGGGGTAACTCAGGGGCAGAAACACCATGGTAATGAGGGGTAAGCATTGATGCAATAATAGCAATAGCATAATGATGGAATTTCAAAATTCCTTAGGAGGAACTAAGATTCAGAAATAAGACACAACCATGATTAAATAAACATGCACAGATACATAGAGAAAGAGAGAGAGAGATTAACATTTTTAGGGCTATGAATATTAACTTTGAAGTAAAGCACTATTCAATATATTTCAAGTAGTTACAAGCCAAAGTCAGATAACTAATATGCTTGAACATCCCTCCCCCAACAACTTTAGCATGTTCGATGTTTTATACTAACTATATCCTGGTAACTGTTATGGACAAAAGACTTTAAAAATAAATGCCTGAAATCTGAAATATTCAAATTATTTGAAATATTACTACACTAACATAGATCCCATACCAGTCTTAAAGTTCATATAAGTTGATTACTTATGAAGAAGAGAATGATTTTTAATATAAATCTTTGGAATTGAACATCAATAAGCCTCATTTCTTTATTTTATATAGTATTTATTTTAACTTTCATGTACAATATGAAATGCAAAAACAGTAATTAAAGGTTAAATCAGACTAACCACATGGCATGTTAGAGAGAAAACGTCAACCTAAAGGCTGAATTAGCAGTTACCCAATATAATTCAGGGCTTTCCTACTGTTGATGCCAAATTATGCAGTAATTTTCACTGTCTTTTTAAAAATTGCAATATGTAATACAATATTACATATATATTCATGATGGATTATAGAAGAATAAAAATCATGCATGAAGAAAATTAACATTAATATTTGCATGAAACCTTCAAATAATTATGAGAGCATGCTAATATGAACTAGCTAGAAAAGAAACAGCAAATAATAAAAAACATTTTATAAGAAAATAAGTAGAGAATGAGCTATAATGCAGCAATTAAAATTATAATAATGAAGACTTGATAACAATGGAAACATCTTTATGTTAAATGGAAAAACAGACATGATTCCAACTATGTAAAACAAATTCATATATGAATAGAGACTGAAAAGAAACCAGAAAAATGAAAATATTTGTGTCAAGATGACAAAAGTTATGACATACATGCTTTAAAAATTCTTTAATGCAGTTAAAACATAGTTTACTTAAAAAAATTTATTGAGGAAAAACGAATGCACCTCAAAATTTTCCTTCCAAACAAGTACTATCCTTCCTAATTATAGAAAATATATAAATGATGTCAACAGGTATTACACCTAGATAGGTGACCTCAGTAGAAGGGCTGTGAGGGCACTTTCCTAGCAGAGACGCAATGACAGACTTACAAATAACTTCTGTCACAACAACAAAGTACAGCAGATGAAGGTTTAGTCAGCACAAAAGAGGAGTTAAATTCTAGACTAAAATAAACTCTATGGATTACTAGTGGATTATAATCATTCCTATCTCCATCACTTTTTGTTTACTAAATAATACGCCTGGATTTCATATTTGCTTCAGTTGGTGAACACAAAAATGGCAATCAAGTTATCCCCAAATAGAAACATTCATGTGTTCATCAAATGTGAATACCTTTGCTTCAAAAACATAAAGTAGGTTCTACCTCAACACTCAGAAACCTGGTCTTGATTAACTCTTGATTAAGCCAAGGTCACTTTAATTATAAATAAATTTTCATCTATTAATCCTCAAAAAGGCCCAAGAGCTTGTATTCTTGTTTTATATACATACGTGTATATATTATGTGTTGTATAAATATATATATGTATACGTGTGTATACACAGATTTTGTGTGTGAATACACACACAGACCCAGATACACACATACTCACATGTATTAGCACTTCTAAGATAAAATAATTCAAAAGGTCACAATAAAATTTTCCATCAAATGATCTTATCTCAGTTCTTAACTTGCAATTGTAATAATTTATTTTCTTCTATCTGTCTGCTTTAACACCAGCACAAGATCAAGACCCCCTTAAGGGTGCTGTATCACCAGCTTACAGCACTTTTAGATGCAAAGCAAGTTTTTTAACATGTAACTGAATGGATGACTGAGAAAGAGCTTTCAAATGAAAAATCAAGGAGAAAGTAAGAAAATGTTATATCAACAGAGCCGTTTGGAATAAAAGCTACAGTGAAGGCACTCAGGCACGAAGCACTGTCTGTTGTCAATCTAAATGATGCCTACTCACAAAACCATATTACTATTTCAAACCTAAAAGGTAAGGCAAAATTTCAGCAATAATGAGATAATACCATAACAGAGGCAAGCATAAAAAGGCTAAAAATACAAATGATCAAATGGGGGTAAATCATGGAAAAGGAAAAGAAAATGAAAAGTTGACCACAGTAATTTAAACTCCTTATGTCAACTCTATTTGTCCCATTGAACCAAAGTCTACCTTAACTTCCATCATTAGCATCTACTGGTATTCTAATAAGCAACTTGAAGTCAGAAAGCCCACCAAACTTTCAGTCAGTACCTCCTTTGAACATATTTCTTATCAAGGCATATATTCACATTTAAAGCCACTAATAATTACAGAGAACAAACAAATTCAAAACCAACACTCTAATTCATTATCTGGTTCTTATACATATTCATCATCTTCACTTGGGAAAGGGTTTAGTTCCATACCGGAGCATTCTAAAACTGCTTTGAGAATGGAGAAAGCCCATTATTCTTGATATGGACGGAAATCATTAAAAATTTATATTTAGAAATATTAATAGTATGAATGAAAAAGCCAGCATTTGAACAAGGATTAAAACAGATTAATACTTTAAATATCATAAATAACTTTAATTATTAGGCAAATTTGATTTTGAATCACTTTAGTCTTTCTGTCTCTGTCTGGAAAGAATTCAACTAATTTAACTCCATGCTGCTGCCCTTTTCCCTTGTCAACAGACTGTTTCCCAACAACTGTAACTTGTCCATAACTTAATTTAAAAGATAAGACTAGCAGTACACGAGTTTATGGTCTAATTCAGTCTCACTATTCAGACCAAGTACTAAATTAGAAAGCAAAAGCCAAGACATTCGTTCAGTATTAGGCAAAGGTTCTGCAAGACTGAATTCTGTGTCACGACAGAGTCCAGCTCAACTGTATGTCCAAATTCCAACTATTACATAGTCCTTAGGCATTGAACTGAGCTTTTAGACCAACAAATAAATTATGATGAAAATTAACATCTGTTTATTGTTATAATTTCTTCCATAAGTAGGTATAACTTATGAGAATAATAATAGAGACGTATAATAGGCTGTTTGGAACATATATCAGACAGATTTACTAGCCTTTAAAAATCCAGTCTTCATTTATGGATCAGTAGATTATACGTGATGCTATAATAACATACCTTCCAGGAATCTGAGTCTATATTTTAAAAAAAAGAAATTTTTCCAGATATCTGTCTTAATCATGAACTGTCCTTTCCTAACAAGAGAAAAATATTACCTCATTATTTATAAAATTTATTTTTATAAACTATTTATTTTGAAATGCATTACTAACTACAGTTTTATAGCTCATATAAATCTATTTTAACTAATCATTCATTCATTCATGAAAGGCAGTAAAGCTTAGCATTTAAGGACTTGATTTCTGGAGCCAAAGTACTTGCAACAGAATCCTCACTCCATCTGTTCTGAGGTGTGCAACCCTGAGCAAGTTCCTTGACCTGTCTGTGGCTCTGTTATCTCATCTCTAATATGGGGATAACCATAGTCCTGGGGATCAAGTGAGTTAATACACGCCACACACCTGGCACATGATAAGCATGCGATGGCTATTAACATTATTATGATTTACAAAATTTGTTGAGCAACTACAGTGTGCCAGACATTGTTCTAGGAACACAGTGAACAGCTGTGAAAAGACAGGGCAGAGTCCCTGCCCTCTTGGATCTCACATTCTAATGAAGGAGACAGGCAATAAGCAAATAAATCTAGAATATAATTCTGTCAGGGATAAATGGTATAAAAAAATAAGCCAGCTAAAGGGAGAGAGTGAACAGGACACTGTTTACTAATCAGCATGGAACTATTCCCACACATCAGCTGCACCAGTCTGCTGCCCGGGTGATTAAGGCCCAATCTGTGCGTCAGGAGGCAGCAGAGCAGAGAGAAGAGGCTCTGGAGCAGTCAGAACTGAGATGCAGGCCTGACTGCACTATTTGTGACGTGAGCACAAGCAAGTCACTCAATCTCTCTCAGCCTTCGTTTCCTCTCTACAAAATGGAGAGAAAACAGAAACTACTTCATAGAGTTACATGAGCTGATGCTTGAAAACGGCATAGCATAGTGTATTGATATGAGCACTAAATAAAATAATGATGATGATGAGCACTCAATAAAAGCCAGCTATAATTACTACTGTAGTTTCCAACTCTGTCTCTACTCCAGACCCTGGCCTCATATACTAGATGTCTCACTAACTCCTCCAACTCTGCCTTTCCAAACATAAACTCATCATCTTAGTTCACAGAGGAGCTCATCTTCCTTTCATTCACCCATCGCTAACACCAGTGAAACCCACAACTTACTGCCTCCATCAATGGGAGTCCTCACAGCTGGTCCACGCAGGAGTCTAGCAAACTTACACCTTCTTCAAGGCTCAGTTCAAATGTCACAGCCTTTGCTGACATTTACAGGCAGGGCTGGCTGCTTCCTTACCTATGTTCTCATAGTGCCAT